CTCCCAGCCTGGCTCCAGCCCTGGAGCAGCTCCATGGGTTCCTCTGGAATCTCTCCAGGTGCTGCTGCTGTGGGATCCACACCTGGATGCAGAATTCCAGCCATGTCAGTCCCTCTTTCTCCTTTTGCTTCCATCCCTGCCCAGCTCTCCCAGCCAAGTCCACTTCCACCTTCACCCCCAGCTCTCCACTCTTGGGAGTTGCTCCCTCCTGCATAAAACCAACCAAGTTTTCCCAGAATTTCCTCATCCTGGGGTACAGAATCCTGCAAAAATCCTTGTGCCTCTTGAGTGGTCTCAGCAATTCAATCTTCTCCTATTTACAGGAAATTTTAAACTTTCCAGTGCATAAATTGTGTCTTTATTTGGATTCTACAGAGCTGAGGATACAAATGGAGGATAAATATTCATCTTATTTCCCACTGTAAAAATAAATTATTTGTTTTCCATGAGCAGGGGTTCCCTTGCATTTGTTTCAGAGAATAATGTTGGAACATAATCTCCTATTTTTTGAATCAATTCTTGAGCCCTGAGCTTCCAAAACTTCCACCTGTGAGATCCCATATGTGGGCCAGGGAATGCAGCCCTCACATGGAAATAGGAAAAGGGATTCTAAAAGCACCAGGGAGAAGCTGTAGGTCCTGGACTCGATAAATTATCAACTTCTTGCCTTTCCTCCCTCAGTTTTTCTGCCATTCCTTCTTTCGTGCTCCCTTCCCAGACTACGTGTTGTCTTATGTATCAAGAGTTCCATTATAATTATGGTGCAAGGGTTCCATACCACCAGAGTTTCACACCTCCTTGATGTTTCTCACAGTCATCTCCTCCAGCACTGACTGTTCCTGGTCCTCACAGCAGCCATCTGACTCCAGATCCCACCAATCCACTCTTTTATAACGCTGCTCTTATTGGCTACAGCTGTGGCCTGTTAACATCAGGCCTGCTCCTAATCCTTAATAATTAACCCAATTCTAACTCTTTTGGAGATAAGATTACATTCTATATCACCTTCATTTACCCAAACTGTATCTCCCTACAATTCCCCCCTTTCTCCTTTAATCAAAGAGTTGCAGCATTTCTAGAAGTGCATATTCAAATAAATTAACATTATCACACATCCATATATTTCATTTAGAACTAAGAGTTATACAAATGTTCAGACAACATATTACAGTACAAATATATGTATTTCTGAGTGTTGGTTCAGTTTTGCAGCTTTTCTCAGTTTACAAAGTACTTATCTTCAAAATCTTTTATACCCATATTTAACAAACACTAATAGCTGCAATTTACCAATAGTTTAGTATTCAAGTCCTTTTCCCCAAATCCATGGGGTTCTATGGTCGAATCCTGTTTCCCTGAATCCACGGGGTCATATGGTCGAGTCCTTTTCTCCCAAATCCACGGGGTCATATAGTTTAGTATTTGACTCCTTTTTTCTCCTGAATCACATCGGGGTCACCATTTGTTCTCATATATTGCAAAGGTTCCATACCACCAGAGTTTCACACCTCCTCAATGTTTCTCACAGGCGGCTCCTCTCAGCACTGACTGTTCCTGGTCCTCACAGCAGCCAACTGACTCCAGTTCCCACCAATCCACTCTTTTATAACACTGCTCTTATTGGCTACAGCTGTGGCCTGTTAACATCAGGCCTGCTCCTAATCCTTCATAATTAACCCAACTCTAACTCTTTAGGAGATAAGATTACATTCTATATCACCTTCATTGACCCAAACTGTATCTCCCTACAATTCCCCCCTTTCTCCTTTAATCAAAGAGTTGCAGCATTTCTAGAAGTACATATTCAAATAAATTAACACATCCATATATTTCATTTAGAACTAAGAGTTATACAAATGTTCAGACAACATATTACAGTACAAATATATGTATTTCTGAGTGTTGGTTCAGTTTTGCAGCTTTTCTCAGTTCACAAAGTACTTATCTTCAAAATCTTTTATATTCATATTTAACAAACACTAATAGCTACAATTGATATATTTGGCCAATAATTTAGTATTCAAGGCCTTTTTCCCCAAATCCATGGGTTTATACAGTCTCATCTGGTTTCCCTGAATCCACAGGGTTATACGGTCAAATCTTGGTTCCCTGAATCCATGGAGTTATATAGCTTAGTCCTGGATCCACGGGTCATCCTGAATCCACAAGACAATATAATTTAGTCCCAAATCACATTGGGGTCACCATTTGTTGTCTCAGTTATCGAGTGTTCCATTATCATTATGGTGCAAGGGCTCCATATTGCCAGAGTTTCGTACCTCCTCAATGTTTCTCACAGTCAACTCCTCCAGCACTGACTGTTCCTGGTCCTTGCAGCAGCCATCTAACTTCAGTTCCCACCAATCCACTCTTTTATAACACTGCTCTTACTGGCTACAGCTGTGGCCTGTCAACATCAGGCCTGCTCCTAATCCTTAATAATTAACCCAGTTGTAACTCGTTAGGGGATGACATTCTATACCACCTTCATTGACCCACACTGTATCCCCCTACAGGATCTTCTCTAGAACCCCACCCAACCAGGCTGAGTCTCCGCTATTTTCTCTCATATTAGAGAGAAATGGTGAGTTGTTACTCAGATTGGATATTCATGGAAAAATTCTTCATGGGAAGGGTTGGGACAGGGCAGTGGAGTCCCCATCCCTGGGGGACTCCAAAGCCCAGTGGAGGTGGCACTTGAGGACATTGATTAGTGGTGGCACTCATGGACAAAGCCCAGTGGAGGTGGCACTTGGGGACAAAGCCCAGTAGAGATGGCACTTGAGGACATTGATTGGTGGTGGCACTTGGGGACAAAGCCCAGTGGAGGTGGCACTTGGGGACATTGATTAGTGGCGGCAATTGAGGACAAAGCCCAGTGGAGGTGGCACTTGGGGACATTGATCAATGGTGGCACTTGGGGGGCATTGATTGGTGGCGGCACTTGGGGACAAAGCCCAGTGGAGGTGGCACTTGGGGACATTGATTAGTGGTGGCACTTGGGGACAAAGTCCAGTGGAGGTGGCACTTGGGGACATTTGTCAGTGGTGGCACTTGGGGACAAAGCCCAGTGGAGGTGGCACTTGAGGACATTGATCAGTGCATGTGACATTTGGGGACATTGATCAGTGGTGGCACTTGGGGCCAAAGCCCAGTGGATGTGGCACTTGGGGACATTGATTGGTGATAGCACTTGGGGACAAAGCCCAGTGGAGGTGGCACTTGGGGACATTGATTAGTGGTGGCAGCTGGGGACAAATCCCAGTGGAGGTGGCACTTGGGGACATAAATCAGTGGTGGCAGTTGGGGACACCAATCGGTGGCACTTGGGGACACTGATCAGTGGCAGCACTTGGGGACAAAGCCCAGTGGAGGTGGCACCTGGGGACATTGATCAGTGATGTCACTTGGGGACAAAGCCCAGTAGAGGTTGCACTTGGTGACATTGATCAATGGTGGCACTTGGGGGACATTGATTAGTGGTGGCCTTGGGGACATTGATCAGTGGTGGCCCTGGCACTGCCGGGAAGGGCTGGATGACCTCAGAGGGCTTTTCCCACCCGAACAATTCCATGATCCCGTTGATTTTCCAGCCACCAGAGAAGCACAGAACGAGACGCCCCCAGCAGCCTCTGGAGAGGACACAGATTTATTTATTTATTTATTTATTTATTTATTTCACTTTAAAAAACCCGACCCAAACCCTCCCCAACCCCACCAGCCACCCCAAAAGCGGCCGGGCTCCTTCCCTCCTCCAGCCTCTGCTGAAAAATAGGTGCTCTGATCTCTGCCCAGACATTAACCCCACACCAATCAGCAGCCCCAGCCTCGAGGGGGTTAATTAATTAATTAATTAATTAATTAATTAATTTTGGCTGACCAGGCCCCTCTGCTGGACCCTTCCTGCTCTGTCCTGCAGCAGAAGGGAATTGCTGCCGCTCCTGCCGCTCCATAAATATTCCAAACGCGCTCAATCACACCAGGAAGTTTAAAAATGCCCCTGACAGCAACAAGCAACGCAAGGTTGATGTGTTGGGAGTGAAAAGAACGTGGTAAAAAACCAAAAATCAGGAGTGCCCAAATTCCCCAAAATTCCTGTGTCCTACAGGAACTGGGGACAATGTGCAAGGTCCTGGAGAGGCAGAGGGACCCAGAGGATGCACAAATGTTACACCTGGGAGCAGCTCCGTGTCAGCTCTGCTCAGCCCCTGGATCCCAAATCCCTGGGTAAAACAATCCCTGGATCCTGCAATCCCTGGATAAAACCCCTGGATCCCACAATCCCTGGATAAAGCAATCACCGGATCCCACAGCCCCTGGATAAAACAATCCCTGGATCCCAAATCCCTGGATAAAACAATCCCTGGATCCCACAGTCCCTGGATCCTGCAATCCCTGGATAAAACAATCCCTGGATCCCAAATCCCTGGATAAAACAATCCCTGGATCCCACAATCCCTGGATCCTACAGTCCCTGGATCCTACAATCCCTGGATCCTACAACCCCTGGCTCAGGAAAAATGGGAACTGGGGGGGGAAAAAAAATCCTTCAGGACGCTGGGATGGAGCTGCAGGTCCTGGCAGCGCCACGCTGGCTCTGGGTGGGATGGAATTCCCTTTTCCCACACTGGGATTTGGGGCTGGGGCTAAACCAGTGCTCCCAGCACAGATGGAACCTCTCCCTTTTCCCACTCTGCTCCCAGCACGGATGAGGCCGTGGAAAGCTGGGAAGGGAATTATCCCAGACAGCTGATAAAAATACAGGGAAAAAGTTTTGGAAAGGTGACCTTGGCTCAGGGAATGCCTGGCAGGGAGGTGCTGCCTTTCCATCACTTTGGGATTTTTTCCCATCATTTTTCCTTTGCTATTAAACCTCCTTCATCCCTCCACGTTCCCAGCTGAGCAGGGACAGCAGCTCCACCACGGGAGCTGCTCCAGGAAAACTGCAGGGAAGCTCCAGGAAAAGCAGCCAAGGGTGACAATGAGGGACAGGGAGCCATGAGGAAGCTGATCCCAAGGGATGGGAAATCCAGAGTGCCCTGGGCAGACTGGGAGCTCCAGCTGGGGCTGTGTCCCACATCCTCCCAGCACAGGGATCAGGGATTGCCACTGGAATGGGGCTCAGCCGTCACCTCCAGACACTGAGATTATTAAAGGACGGCACCAAACTGGCTCAGGGTCCAGCTGATCCAACAGCCATGGAAGTTGGGCTCCCAACAAACCTCTGGATCAGCTTCTCCTTAAAAAAGGTTATTCCAATGGGGGAAAAAAAAAAAAAAAAAAAAAGGAAGCAAAAGGGGTCGCCTAAAAAAATGCCAACTCGCAAAAAATGCCCGGATTGTTTCTCCATGATCCTTTCCCCAAGTTCCCAGTGCAGGCTCCCCATTCTCCCAGGAGCTTGGCACAGCCAACACCTCCCCTGGTACAAAAACACCCCCTGGACTGGGGGGCTCCCTGCTGCTCTGCTCTGGCACACAACCAGCAGCTCCCAGCGGGAATTCCCTGTTCTCACTGCTCCTTGGGCCGGCCCTGGCCCCAGCAGCGCGCCAGGAGCGGCCCCAGGCCGTGCCACAGCTCCGTGTACATCAGCGTGCCCACGAAGACAAAGGCCGTGCCCAGCCAGTGCCAGCCCGTGAAGGGGTTCTGGAAGTACAGGATGGAGAAGATGAGGCTGACGAACTTGCGCAGCGTCACCACCAGGGTGACCGTCAGGGACGTGCACTCCGTGGTCAGGATGAAGACGCCGCGGATGCAGACGTACCTGGGAGCAGCAGCTAAGGGACAGCAGGCATGGAAATGGGGATTCCCTCTGGGAATGGGCAGGAGCAGGGGATGGGCAGCCTGCTGTGGATGGGGGAATTCCCTCCTGGGATCAGCTGGGTTGGAATGGGACACACCAAACTCAGGGACATCCAAAATCTGATTCCCACACTGGAGCAGTTGGAGCTGAGTTGGAAGCTCCAAACTCCTCCATTTCCCCTGGAATTCCAGGGAGTCAGGGATCTCCTGGATCTCCAGGAGTTCCTGGATTCCAGGGAGCAGAAGTCCCAGATTCCCACAATGAACCAGGCTGGAAAAGACCTTTGAGATCACTGAGTCCAGCCTAAAAAACCAAAGTTCCCTTTCCCTGCATTTTTGGAGTTAAAACAACAGCAGCTCCCGAGGGCAGGGAAGACTCCAAGGATTTTCCTCCTCCTGAGATAAGCAGGGAGATGTGCATCCTGCTCTGGATGGGGAAATTCCCTCCTGAGATCAGCTGGGTTGGAACAGGACACATCAAACTCAGGGAAACCCCAAATCTCAGATGCCCCCACTGGAGTAGAATCCCAGAACAAACCAGGCTGGAAAAGACCTTTGAGATCAAGTCCAACCTAAAAAACAAAATTTCCCTTTCCCTGCATTTTTGGAGTTCCATCACCAGCAGCTCCCGAGGGCAGGGAAGCCTCCAAGGACTGAGGAAGGCAGCCCCAGCCCTGCAGTGGCACCCCACAAAAGGTGGGATCAGGGATAAAGGATACTGGGTGATGACGTTCATCAGGAGGTAGAACCACATGATGGGCAGGGTCAGGCCGATCACTGGCACCTGGAACAGCTCTGCAGGGGAAAAAAGGGGAAAAAGGGAAAAAGTAAAAAAGAGAAAAAGGGAAAAAGGGAAAAAGGATGGGATGAGGTCACTGCTGGAGGAGCCTCTCTCCTTGCCGAGCCTAACCATGACCCAGGACTCCCTGCAGCCTTACACAGCCTGCAATTGCAGAGGGGAGGATGGAAAATAAGGAAAAATATGAGGAGAAAAGCTCTGTCGTGCTCTCCTGTGTCGGAGGAATCCACTCTGCTCCCACAGCAAATCCTGGGGAGCACCAGCAAAAATAAACCCCAGCAAGTCCATGTTGACATCCCTTATTGAGGATCAGGTCCTGGTGCTCCCACTTCTGAGCTCCCACGTTCCTTTTCCCAGGAATCCCTCTTGGATGTGGCTGGTGTGTGGGAATTGGTAAGAAACTTGGGTTTCAAACAGGGAATTATGGAATGGTTCCTTAAATTCCACCCCTGCCATGGCAGGGACACCTCCCCTATCTCAGGCTGCTCCAGCCCCAGTGTCCAGCCTGGCCTTGGGCATTGCAGGGATCAGGGGCAGCCCCAGCTGCTCTGGGAATCCCTTCCCAAAATCCCACCCCAGGCTCCCTCTCCAGGGAATTCCCTCCATTCCCAGCTCTCCCAGCCTGCCATTGGATCCATCCCCACCCCGACTCCTCTCTAGGAAGGAATTTTGGGGTCTGGGGGCTTCACTGGGAACCTCAGCACTCCAGGAAGGGTCTCCCTTCCCTTTGCCACCCCCAACTTCCATAAAAATCCCTGGGGATGGATTCTGAGTGTCCCAAATCCCAGAATGGTTTGGGTGGGAAGGGCCCTTCAAGCCCATCCCATTCCAATCCCACCATCCCAGGCTGCTCCAGCCTGGCCTTGGGCACTGCAGGGATCAGGGGCAGCCCCAGCTGCTCTGGCAATGCCAGCCCAGGCAGGAATTCCTTCCTGAAATTCCCCAAAATCCAAAAGGCTTGCAACACCCCAAGATGCCAGCATGCACAAGTGCAGGAATGAATGAACTTCCCAGAGGATTTCCCAGAGGATGGGGAGGCCCAGGAGCAGGGATGCCCCAGCCCAGCACTCACCAGACTGGCTGAAGAGCACGGCGTGCTGGTAAATGTTGGGAGCCAGGAGCAGGAACCCAGGGAGCGGCAACGCGTGCTGGGGGAGAAACAAACCCAGGGTGGGATCAGGGGAGGGGAATGCACCCAAAATCCCTGCTGGAAACAGCTGGATCACAGCAGCTGGATCAGAGCAGCTGGATCAGAGCAGCTGGATCAGAGCTGGATCACTGCCAGCTCCCTCCTGGTAGTGTGGGATCCTTTTTGTGCCCAATGCAGGAGTGGAAGCGTGTCACAGACATCTTTTATGGAAAATCCTTTCCTTGGGATTTTTTCTCCTGAGAAGCTGAGAGGCCTCAGGAACAAAATGTAAACATTGATTATCTGCTGCTGTGGAATGCAACAGGTGCATCTGGGATTGGTCTCATGTGGTTGTTTGTAATCAACGGCCAATCACAGTCAGCTGGCTCAGACTCTCCATCCAAGCCACAACCCTTTGTTATCATTCTTTCTTTTTCTATTCTTAGCCAGCCTTCTGATGAAATCCTTTCTTCTATTCTTTTAGTATAGTTTTAATGTAATATATATCATAAAATAATAGATCAGCCTTGTGAAACATGAAGTCTGATCCTCGTCCCTTCCCTCACCCTCAGAGCCCTGTGAAGGGAGCCTGGAGCAGGGGGAGCCCAGGACTCACGTTGTAGAACAGAGCTTCCTTGGAGTGCTTCCCAAATCTCTTGTACAGAGTCTCCTGGAAAATGCCCATCCTGGCAGACATCAGCAGGGCAAAGGTGAGGGCAGCAATGCCTGCAAGGGAAGCACAGCCCAAATCACCAAATCTGGCTTCCAGGGGGAAAAACACCAAACAAACTGCCCAGGCTTGGTAAGAAAACTGGTAATGATTTTGGGGTTTGATTACAGGTCTCCAAGAGATCCCTTAAAAATACCAGGGATGCAGTTTGTGCCACTACTGACAACAATCAATCCCAGATTTCCCAAAGAGCCACCAGCAGACCCAGGGTGGAGGCAGGAACCACAGATAAGGCCTCATGTGTGAGATGTGGTGCTGAGGAGCACCTGGAGCAGCCCCAGCCCCTCTCTCTCCCTCTCTGCTCCAGGCAGGGCTGCCTTTGCCAGGAGAATTCCCGGAATCCGGCCAGCATCCCAGAAATGTGGCCCTCACATACCCAGCAGCCACCAGAGGAAAGCCTGGGGTCCATCCTCTTGATCTGAGCTGGAGTCAGACGCCTGAGGGGAGACACAAGAGTCACCAAGAGCCGCCAGGTCCCTGCAGCAGCCCCAGGCTGCCCACCCTGCTCCAGGGAATGCAGAGATCCCAGCAGAAAATGGCAGAGTCTGATCAAATCAGGATTTTTCCTGAAAGGAACGGCCTGGTTTGATGAGACTGAGCTCTTAACCACAAAAATCATCAGTGCTGCTTTTCAAGCCCTCAGAGCCAGCCCATTCCCAAATCCCTGTGTCCCCAGCCCATTCCTGTGTCCCCATTCCCAGGCTCCTGTGTCCCCATCCCCAAGTTCCTGTGTCCACAGTCTCCATCCCATTCCCACATTCCTGTGTCCCCACTCCCAGGTTCCTGTGTCCCCATTCCCACATTCCTGTGTCCCCATTCCATGTTCCTGTGTCCCCATTCCCAGATCCCCGTGTCCCCATCCCATTCCCACATTCCTGTGCTCCCATCCCATTCCTGTATTCCTGTGTCCCTATTCCCAGGTTCCTGTGTCCCCATCCCATTCCAGGTTCCTGTGTCCCCATTCCCAGGTTCCTGTGTCCCCATCCCATTCCTGTGTCCCTATTCCCAGATTCCTGTGTCCCCATTCACATTCCAGGTTCCTGTGTCCCCATTCCCACATTCCTTTTTCCCCATTCCCAGAGATGACTTTCTATGAAGGAATAAGAGCCCTGGCCAAGCCCATCAGGATCTAAAACCAGTCCTAAAACCAGTCCTAAACCAGACTTATGGTCAGGAAATGGAGGAGATGAGGCTGAGGACACAACTCCAGCTGGAGCCGCCTCAGCTCCCTCCCCGTGCTCCAGGACAATCGGATTTATTCCCCTTTCCCTCAGCTCCTCCCCAGGCTCCAGCCCTGCTGGGAGCTGCTCTGGATGAACTCGGAGCCCAGGCTGCAGAGCCCAGCCCTCCCTCAGCCCCCTGGGGTGAAAGCTCTGGGGTGATGGGGAATTTGGGGCTGTGGGAATGATGGGGAATTTGGGGCTGTGGGGTGATGGGGAATTTGGGGCTGTGGAATGATGGGGAATTTGGGGCTGTGGGAATGAAGGGGAATTTGGGGCTGCGGAATGCTGGGGAATTTGGGGCAGTGGGATGAAGGGGAATTTGGGGCTGTGGAATGATGGGGAATTTGGGGCAGTGGGATGAAGGGGAATTTGGGGCTGTGGAATAATGGGGAATTTGGGGCTGCGGGAATGATGGGGAATTTGGGGCTGTGGGAATGAAGGGGAATTTGGGGCTGTGGGATGCTGGGGAATTTGGGGCTGTGGGAATGCTGGGGAATTTGGGGCTGTGGGAATAATGGGGAATTTGGGGCTGCGGGAATGCTGGGGAATTTGGGGCTGTGGGAATGCTGGGGAATTTGGGGCTGTGGAATGAAGGGGAATTTGGGGCTGCGGGAATGATGGGGAATTTGGGGCTGTGGGGTGAAGGGGAATTTGGGGCTGTGGGATGATGGGGAATTTGGGGCTGTGGAATAATGGGGAATTTGGGGCTGTGGGATGATGGGGAATTTGGGGCAGTGGGATGATGGGGAATTTGGGGCAGTGGGATGATGGGGAATTTGGGGCTGTGGAATAATGGGGAATTTGGGGCTGCGGGAATGATGGGGAATTTGGGGCTGTGGGATGAAGGGGAATTTGGGGCTGTCACAGCTCCCCTTCATTGCCAACCCCTCTGAGCTGGATTCAGTGCACCAATTGTCACTCTGTGCCATTTTTTGTCACCAGCTGATGGGGTCAGGCTGTGGTGCTGACCCAGGGACAGCTCTGAGCGTGTTCCACGTGGATTTGCTTCCCTCCCTCCTGCTCCCCCAGCACAGGCACTTCATTTAAAGGTCAGGCTGGAAAAATCCAGCCTGAAAGGCAACAACCTCTTGTGGGATGGAAAGAGGGAAGATTTCTGATGGATTTTTGTTTAGGATTCACCTGCTCCTGCCTGCTACAGAAGGCAAGGAAAAGCAGCTTCTTTCTGTTACCTCTGAGACAAAAAAATGGGATTTATTCCCAAAATGCAGCATGAACAGGTGTAATTAATGAATTAATAATTAATGAAATCCCACAGGAAAATAGAACCAGGAGGAAAAGCTGCTGGGGAGCAGATGCAGAGGAAGGAGACACCTCCATGAAAAATCAGACAGAGGGAATTGCTGAGGTTGTCCCTTGCCATGCTTACCACTTGCTTTGCAGACATGAAGGTGCAGGTGAAGATGCCCAGGGACACCAGGGCTATGGAGCTGTATTTGGACACGCTGTACCTGCACAGGGGACAAGGGACACGTCACCAACCCCGCCTGGCTCACATCCACCCCTGCTCCAAACCTGGGATAAGGGGCACACTCCCACCCCTAACCCTGGCAGGGCCAGCTGACTCCAGCTCAGCACCTCAAGAAACTTTTCTCCCCAAATTTATCCCAGTTTATCCCAAAGCTCCAGCCTTGACTCTGTGCAGGCACAACTCTGACTTATCAATGTGTTATCAGCATGCTATTAATGTGAAATCAACATGTTATCAGCATGTTATTAATGTATTATCAATGTGTTATCAGTCTGTTATGCACAAGGGACAAGGGACACGTCATGGCTCACATGCATTCCTGCTTCCCTAAATTCCTGCTCCAAACCTGGGATAAGGGGCACACTCCCACCCCTAACCCTGGCAGGGCCAGCTGACTGCAGATCAGCACCTCCAAGCTTTTCTCCCAGAATTTATCCCAGTTTATCCCAACACTTCTCCCAGTTTATCCCACAGCTCCAGCCTTGACTCTGTAGGCACAGCTCAGAATTATCAGTGTGTTATTAATGTGTTATCAGCATGTTATCAGCATGTTATTAATGTATTATCAATGTGTTATCAGTGTGTTATGCACAGGGGACAAGGGACATGTCACCAACCCCCCCTGGCTCACATCCACCCCTGCTTCCCTGAATTCCTGCTCCAAACCTGGGATAAGGGGCACATTCCCACCCCTAACCCTGGCAGGGCCAGCTCAGCACCTCCAAGCTTTTCTCCCAGAATTTATCCCAGTTTATCCCAACACTTCTCCCAGTTTATCCCAACACTTCTCCCAGTTTATCCCACAGCTCCAGCCTTGACTCTGTAGGCACAGCTCAGAGTTATCAACGTGTTATTAATGTGTTATCAGCATGTTATCAGCATGTTATTAATGTATGATCAATGTGTTATCAGTGTGTTATGCACAAGGGACAAGGGACATGTCATGGCTCACATGCATTCCTGCTTCCCTAAATTCCTGCTCCAAACCTGGGATAAGGGGCACATTCCCACCCCTAACCCTGGCAGGACCAGCCCAGCACCTCCAAGCTTTTCTCCCCACATTTATCCCAGTTTATCCCAACACTTCTCCCAGTTTATCCCACAGCTCCAGCCTTGACTCTGTAGGCACAGCTCAGAGTTATCAACGTGTTATTAATGTGTTATCAGCATGTTATCAGCATGTTATTAATGTATGATCAATGTGTTATCAGTGTGTTATGCACAAGGGACAAGGGACACGTCACCAGCCCTGCCTGGCTCACATCCATCCCTGCTTCCCTGCATTCCTGCTCCAAACCTGGGATAAGGGGCACACTCCCACCCCTAACCCTGGCAGGGCCAGCTGACTGCAGATCAGCACCCCAAGAACCTTTTCTCCCCACATTTATCCCAACACTTCTCCGAGTTCATCCCACAGCTCCAGCCTCGACTCTGTGCAGGCACAGCTCAGCCTTATCAATGTGTTATCAGCATGTTATCAGCATGTTATCAATGTGTTATCCACACAGCTGTGGAAAATCTCTTCCCAGCCCAAAATTCCAGCCAAGGAAGGAGGGAGAGGTGGAGATGCACAAGGAGCTATTCCAGCCTCTGTGCCCTGCTCTCTGTCCCAGTTTCCCATCATTGAAATCAGAATATTTAACAGGAAAAGTGATGGCACAAAACACCCACAGCAGGATTTAATAATGCAGAGCATTCCCTGAAGAGATGAAGTTTGGGATTTACCTTTTCTTCAGGATGATGATCCCTAGAGCCATGCTTGCTATGAGAGAACCCTGGGGGAATAAAAAAATATTAAAAAAAAAAAAGAAGAGAAAACCAAAGCAGGAGGTCAGAGGCCAGAATTGCCCAGCTTGGGATGCTCACCCCAAACTGCAAGAACACCAAGAGAAACTCCAGATTGGAGCAGGAAAAGTGACAGGGAGAAGGAACAGCTTCCCTGAGGTTGGATTTTGGGAAAACTCCTGCCCTCAAAGGGCTGTCCCAGCCTGGAGGGATTTCCAAGCCCTGTGGATGTGGCACTTGGGGACAGGGGGCAGTGCTGGCCTGGCAGTGCTGGGAATGGTTGGAATCACTTGGGGACAGGGAGCAGTGCTGGGAATGGTTGGAATCACTTGGGGACAGGGGGCAGTGCTGGGAATGGTTGGAATCACTTGGGGACAGGGGGCAGTGCTGGGAATGGTTGGGCTCCATGAGTTTAAAGTTCTTTTCCTGCCTCAGTGATTCCATGATTGTGAGTCCCTTCACCAGGAGAAGGGGAGAAGGGGAGCTTGGGAACCAGGACTGGATCTCCTGGCCAGGGATCTCCTCTTTCTTTTTTTTCAGTGTGTGACCAGAACCCAAATCCCTCTGGAAATCCCATCCACCCTGCAGCAAATCCCACTGGTGTAACTGGGACCAGGAGCCCAGCTCCAGGATTGGCTGCAGGAGCAGAAGCACCCCTCAGAGTTCATGTGGGACAGGTCTCCTGCAGTGTCCCCAACCCATTCCCACACTGCTCTGTCCCCATCCCATTCCTGTGTCCCCATCCCATTCCTGTGTCTCCATTCCAGGTTCCTGTGTCCCCATCCCATTCCAGGTTCCTGTGTCCCCATCCCATGTTCCTGTGTCCCCATCCCACGTTCCTGAGTCTCCATTCCAAGTTCCTGTGTCCCCATCCCATTCCCAGGTTCCTGTGTCCCCATTCTGGGTTCCCGTGTCCCCTTTCTGCCATTCCTGTCTTCCTTTGCCATTCCCACTCCTGTGTCCCCATCCCATTCCCACATTGCTGTGTCCCCATCCCATTCCTGCATTCCTGTGTCCCCATCCCATCCCAGGTTCCCGTGTCCCCATCCCATTCCTGTGTCGCCATTCCCAGATCCCTGTATCCCCATCCCATCCCAGGTTCCCGTGTCCCCATCCCATTCCTGTGTCTCCATTCCCAGATCCCTGTATCCCCATCCCATTCCCGGGTTCCGGTGTCCCCATCCCATTCCCAGGTTCCTGTGTCCCCATCCCATTCCTGCATTCCTGTGTCCCCATCCCATTCCCAGGTTCCTGTGTCCCCATTCCCATTCCTGTGTCCCCATCCCATTCCAGGTTCCTGTGTCACCATCCCAGGTTCCTGTGTCCCCATTCCCAGGTTCCTGTGTCCCCATCCCATTCCCACATTCCTGTGTCCCCATTCCTACGTTCCTGTGTCCCCATCCCATTCCAGGTTCCTGTGTCCCCATCCCATTCCTGTGTCCCCATCCCATTCCCAGGGATAGGAAAAACCCTGGGCTGGTTTTATCCTTCAGAACCTCTCCTGATTGCAGCTATTCCACCCTCAGGATGTGCTGTGGGGAAAGAGCTCCCACCAGGAGATTTTGTTATTCCCAACACCTGGAGCTCCATTTCCTTGGGGTTTAAAAGATCTTTTAGCCTGGCACTCATCCACACTTAAGGTAAGAAGCAATTTAATGGGTTTTTTTCCCAAAGCAAAGACTTATGCAGGTGGAATTAATCCCAAATCCCAAATCTAGGCTCTGTGACCATGATACTCAAGACCAGAACATGACCCACTTGGTGGCAGGGAAAGCTGGATCCCAGCCAGACTTCAGGATTGGTTTTGTCACTGCCCCTTCCCCCTCAGCTCTGCAATTCCAAAGACTTTCCTGTTTCCCTGCCTGTCCATTAAGCTGGAATTTAATGATCAACTCCATCAAGTGAAACCTTTGGAGCGGGGCTGGAGCTCGGGATCTCCACAGGGGCTTGGTGCTCTCAGGACACGCGGAGCAGGGACAGCTCCAGCAGCAAGGATGGAATGGGAGCCCCAGGAGGATGAGGAGGATGAGGAAGAGGAGGGAGCTCACCGAGCGGAAGATCATGTGCAGCGGCATGGCGATGTTCAGGTTCAGGGCGTAGTTATTGACCACGCTGACGGTGAAGAACATGGCCACCATGATGAAATAATTCCTGAAACAGGGAAAAACCACCTGGGAGATGGGCAGGAACCCCCCTGAGATGCTGAGGGACCCCTCAGGAAGGCACAGAGAGCTCTGGAGCACAGCAGAGCTCTCGGCTCTGTCACCAGTGCAGGAATGTGAATTTGGGTGATTTTCCAGGAAAACTTTCCCTTCTCACTCCCACCACACCAAATCCCAGACACAAAATGCCCTTGAGGCACAACAAACTCTTCCCTGTGCAAAACTCTGCCCTGTTCCTGTGACAGGGAATGGAAATTTCCCATTGAAAATTGATAAACGAGTGTGGATCTTATCCAGCCTGACAGCTTCCCAACGTGGCTCTGCAGAGCATGGATGGGATTTCCAGAGGATAAATGGCAAATCCATTTTATGAGAAGCTTTTTGGAGATCAGAGAGAGGTGCAGGTGATTCCTGCCTGGGGCTGTACCTGATGGGGATGGCCGGGCGCTTCCTGCCGAAGTTGGCCTCGAAGATGAAACCTTCCACAGCAATGAACAGGAACTGGGAGAAGGTGACGATGTTCCCACAGCCTGGGAACTGCCTGCGGGCAGGGAGAGGCAGGGATCAGAGCAGCCATGGAGAGCTGACACTGGCACCCAAAAGAGGGGGAATCCTGTCCCTATTCCCAGAATCCCATCCCTTTTCCCAAAATCCTATCCCTATTCCCAAAATCGTTTCCCTTTTCCAAAAATCCTACCCCTATTCCCATAATCCTATCCCTATTCCCATAATCATATCCCTTTTTCCAAAATCCTGTCCCCTTCCCATAATCCTATATCCCTTTTTCCAGAATCCTATCCCTATTCCAGAATCCTATCCCTTTTTCCAAAATCCTATCCCTTTTCTCAGAATCCTATCCCCATTCCCAGAATCCCAACAATTTTTCCAAATTCTGTCCCTTTTTCCAAAATTCTATCCCTATTCCTAGAATTCTATCAATTTTTCCATAATCCTATCCCTTTTCCCAGAATCCTATCCCTATTCCCATAATCCTGTCCCTTTTCCCAGAATCCTATTCCTCTGTCCAAAATCCAGTCCCTTTTCCATAATCTTATCCCTATTCCCACAATCCTGTCCCTATTCCAAAAATTCTATCCTTATTCCCAGAATCCCAACCCTTTTTCCAGAATCTTGTCACTTTTTCCAAAATCTCATCCCTTTTTCCAAAATTCTATTCCAATTCCCAGAATTCTATCAATTTTTCCATAATCCTATCCCCCTTTTTCCAGAATCCTATCCCTTTTCCCAGAATCCTATCCCTATTCCCAGAACCCTGTCCCTTTTTCCAAAATCCTGTCCCTTTTTCCAGAATCCTATCACTTTCCCCAGAATCCTATCCCTATTCCCAGAACCCTATCCCTTTTTTCATAACCCTACCCCTTTTTCCATAATCCTGTCCCCTTTTCCAAAATCCTGTCCCTATTCCCAGAATCCTGTCACTTTTCCCACAATCCTGTCCCATTTTCCTGAATCCTATCCCTTTTCCCAGAATCCTATTCCTGTTTTTCAGGAATCCTGTCCCTATTCCCAGAATCCTGTCCCTATTCCCATAATCCTACCTCTATTTCCATAATCCTACCCCTATTTCCAAAATCCTACCCCTTTTCTCAGAATCCTATCCCTTTTCCCAAAATCCTATCCCTTTTTCTATAATCCCATCCCTTTTTTCATAATACTATCCCTTTTTTCATAATCCCATCCCTTTTTCCAAAATCCTATCCCTATTCCCAGAATGCTGTCCTTATTCCCACAATCCAATCCCTTTTCCAGAATCCTGTCCCTTTTTTCATAATTCTATCCCGTTTCCCAGAATCCTGTCCCTATTCTAAATATCCCGTCCCTTTTCCCAAAACCCCATCCCTTTTTTCATTATCCTATCCCTTTTTCCAGAATCCTGCCCCTATTCCCACACCCCAATCCCTTTCCCACACCCCAATCCCTTTCCCATATCCCAATCCCTTTCCCACATCCCAATCCCTTTCCCACACCCCAATCCCTTTCCCATATCCCAATCCCTTTCCCACATCCCAATCCCTTTCCCACACCCCAATCCCTTTCCCACATCCCAATCCCTTTCCCACACCCCAATCCCTTTCCTATTCCCCATACCCCAATCCCTTTCCCATACCCCAATCCCTTTCCCACATCCCAATCCCTTTCCCACACCCCAATCCCTTTCCTATTCCCCATACCCCAATCCCTTTCCCACACCCCAATCCCTTTCCCACAATCCAATCCCTTTCCCATACCCCAATCCCTTTCCCACATCCCAATCCCTTTCCCACACCCCAATCCCTTTCCTATTCCCCACACCCCAATCCCATTCCCACACCCCAATCCCTTTCCCATACCCTAATCCCTTTCCCAAAATCCAACCCCTTTTCCATTCCCCAATCCCTTTCACATACCCCAATCCCTTTCCTATTCCCCACACCCCAATCCCTTTCCCACACCCCAATCCCATTCCCACACCCCAATCCCTTTCCCACAATCCAATCCCATTCCCACACCCCAATCCCATTCCCACACCCCAATCCCATTCCCACATCCCAATCCCATTCCCACACCCCAATCCCATTCCCACACCCCAATCCCATTCCCACACCCCAATCCCTTTCCCACACCCCAATCCCATTCCCACACCCCAATCCCTTTCCCACAATCCAATCCCTTTCCCACACCCAAATCCCTTTTCCACACCCCAATCCCTTTCCCACACTCCAATCCCATTCCCACACCCCAATCCCTTTCCCACAATCCAACCCCTTTCCCACACCCCAATCCCTTTTCCATTCCCCAATCCCTTTTCCACACCCCAATCCCTTTCCCACACCCCAATCCCATTCCCACACCCCCAATCCCTTTCCCACACCCCAATCCCTTTCCCACAATCCAATCCCTTTCCCACACCCCAATCCCATTCCCACACCCCAATCCCATTCCCACACCCCAATCCCTTTCCCACACCCCAATCCCATTCCCACACCCCAATCCCTTTCCCACACCCCAATCCCTTTCCCACACCCCAATCCCATTCCCACACCCCAATCCCATTCCCACACCCCAATCCCTTTCCCACAATCCAATCCCTTTCCCACAATCCAATCCCATTCCCACAACCCAATCCCTTTCCCACAATCCAATCCCTTTCCCACACCCCAATCCCTTTCCCACACCCCAATCCCTTTCCCATACCCCAATCCCATTCCCACACCCCAATCCCTTTCCCACAATCCAATCCCTTTCCCACACCCCAATCCCATTCCCACACCCCAATCCCATTCCCACACCCCAATCCCTTTCCCACAATCCAATCCCTTTCCCACAATCCAATCCCTTTCCCACACCCCAATCCCATTCCCACACCCCAATCCCTTTCCCACACCCCAATCCCATTCCCACACCCCAATCCCATTCCCACACCCCAATCCCATTCCCACACCCCAATCCCTTTCCCACACCCCAATCCCTTTTCCACTCCCCAATCCCTTTTCCACACCCCAATCCCTTTCCCACACCCCAATCCCATTCCCACACCCCAATCCCATTCCTACACCCCAATCACTTTCCCCTTTCCCACACCCCAATCCCTTTCCCACACCCCAATCCCTTTCCCACAATCCAATCCCTTTCCCACACCCCAATCCCTTTTCCACTCCCCAATCCCTTTCCCACACCCCAATCCCTTTCCCACACCCCAATCCCTTTTCCACTCCCCAATCCCTTTCCCATACCCCAATCCCTTTCCCACAATCCAATCCCTTTCCCACACCCCAATCCCTTTTCCACTCCCCAATCCCTTTCCCACACCCCAATCCCTTTCCCACACCCCAATCCCTTTTCCACTCCCCAATCCCTTTCCCATACCCCAATCCCATTCCAACACCCCAATCCCATTCCCACACCCCAATCCCTTTCCCATACCCCAATCCCATTCCCACAATCCAATCCCTTTCCCACAATCCAATCCCTTTCCCATACCCCAATCCCTTTCCCACACCCCAATCCCTTTCCCACACCCCAATCCCATTCCCAGCCCAGACCCGCCCTGCCGAGGTTCCCTCAGCCTTTCTCCACCCGAGCTTGCCCAATCTCCTGCAGGGATTTCCCTCCACATTTCCCAACAGGAGCAGCTCAGAGAGGCCAGGAGTGACACAAACCCTGCTGGATGTCCCCTTTCCCACGGCAAGTGCCTTTAGGGGATTCTGTTCCTTCCCAAAAGCTGCTGAGTTTGGGGAATCTGAGGTAATCTGAGCTAATCTGCATTTCCAGGGGGAAAATGCAGCTGGAAATTCAACATTCCTCATTGCCGCTGTGCCAAGGTCAGCTCTGTGCTGGGGCAGCTTTGCTCAGTTTCCACTAAAAAAGCTTCAGCTCCTCTGGGATTTCTGGGTGCCAAAAATCCCTTTGGTTGTGAATTCTGGAATGGACCAAAACTGGGATTTCTGGGTGCCAAAAAATCCTTTTGGTTTGAATTCTAGAATGGACCAGAACTGGGATTTCTGGATGCCAAAAATCCCTTTGGTTGTGAATTCTAGAATGGAACAAAACTGGGATTTCTGGATGCCAAAAATCCATTTGGTTGTGAATTCTAGGAGTGACCAAAGCTGGGATTTCTGGGTGCCAAAAATCCCTTTGGTTGTGAATTCTAGAATGGACCAAAACTGGGATTTCTGGGTGCCAAAAATCCCTTTGGTTGGGAATTCTAGGAGTGACCAAAACTGGGATTTCTGGGTGCCAAAAACCCCTTTGGTTGTGAATTCTAGAATGGACCAAAACTGGGATTTCTGGATGCCAAAAATCCATTTGGTTGTGAATTCTAGGAGTGACCAAAGCTGGGATTTCTGGATGCCAAAAACCCCTTTGGCTGTGAATTTTAGAAGTGACCAAAACTGGGATTTCTGGGTGCCAAAAACCCCATTGGTTTGAATTCTGAAATGGACCAAAACTGGGATTTCTGGGTGCCAAAAACCCCATTGGTTTGAATTCTGAAATGGACCAAAACTGGGATTTCTGGGTGCCAAAAACCCCTTTGGTTGTGAATTCCATAATGGACCAAAACTGGGATTTCTGGATGCCAAAAACCCCTTTGGCTGTGAATTTTAGAAGTGACCAAAACTGGGATTTCTGGGTGCCAAAAATCCCTTTGGTTTGAATTGTAGAATGGACCAAAGCTGGGATTTCTGGGTGCCAAAAATCCCTTTGGTTGTGAATTCTAGGAGTGATTCAAGCTGGGAAATGCTCTGGAAACCAGGAAATTTCCAAGCTGTCCCCTCCAAATTCTCCTGTGTCACCCCACAGGGCTCTGAGGAGCAGCAGCACCTGGGGAAGGCAGGGCTGAGAAAGCAAAAGGGGAATTTTTTTTAACTGGGAAAAATCAAATCCCAGGGATTTCACCCTGAGCCACTTCCCTCTGCCCACCTGGCAATTCCCACATTCTTCCCAGAAGAATTATCAAGAAAACTTCATTATCCAGAAAACTTTGTTATCCAGAAAACTTTGTTATCCAGAAAACTTTGTTATCCATAAAACTTCATCATCCAGAAAACTTCATCATCCAGAAAACTTCATTATCCAGAAAACTTTGTTATCCAGAAAACTTCGTTATCCAGAAAACTTCGTTATCCAGAAAACTTCATTATCCAGAAAACTTCATTATCCAGAAAACTCTGTTATCCAGAAAACTTCATCATCCAGAAAACTTCGACCTTGAGGCTGAAAGGTTCAAAAGCTCCTGGGAAAAAGTGACCTTGAAGCAGAGCCAGAAGCTGCAGGATGGCCAATCTTATCTCCAGCCTTATCTCCAGCCTTATCTCCAGCCTTATCTCCAGCCTTATCTCAGCCTTTCAGCTCCAGAGAGGATCACAAGGAGCTGGAAATTTGGGATAACCCCAGGCTGGGTTTTGTCTCCTCCCAAAATCCAGAGCCCTGGGCACGACCCCATTTTATCAGCAGTTTTGGGTTTTGTGCTGGCTGATAAGACACAGATAAGAATTCTGGGCTCCTTTTCTGCCTCACAATCCTCACTCAGATCCACCTAAAAAATGAGATTAATCCTGATCTGCCAACACAAGATCTGCTTCAGCTGTGGACAACAGGAAAGAATCATCCCAACAAGAAATTTCCTTGCACTCTCTCCTACCTCACCACATGGAAAGGGAGAAAATCTGATTTTTTGGGCCTGATTTTTGTCCCTTCCACAGCAATTTGAGCCCCTTCAATCAAGAAATTGGAGATTTCTTGTTCTGCCTCCACGATCCAGCAGAGATATTTCTCTCCTCTGCCCTGCAGCCGCTCTCCACACATTGAAAGCTTTTTCTGTGCCCTCAGGCATTTCCAGATTAAACAATTCTCATTCCTTTGCTTTATTTATAAATCCTGAGCAAATTTCTTCCCAATTTCTTCACCTTTGCTACTCCTCACCAGCCTTTTCCTGGCATCCTGCTCCAGGATTTTGCTTGTTTTATGGGAATATCAGAGTTGGGATATTGGGAATATCAATATTCATCTGCAGGGGGAATTTTTCCTTCTAAAACTCAACGAAATAATGAAATTATCCCAATTTTGGGGCTAAAGGTGAGCAGGGCAAGTAAAAGGCACAGGAATTGAGATGTTAGGAGTGGAGGAATTTTAAAAGTGGATGGGAGGTGCTGCTTGAAAGAGGTTTTGTGTGAAAAGCAGCTTTTCCTTGATGTCTGCAATTGGACTTCTGGAATTTGCTCCTCTGGGTTTCAGCCACCTTTGAATAATTCAGTCTTTGAACAGGGCCAAATATTTTGGTTTAAGGTTTGCTTGGAGGAGAAATGAGTGGCAAAAAAAAGCCAAATTTAAAAGTTTTTTTGCTTCCAACGGGTTCATTCCTCCTCTGTCACTCAGGCAGGAAAGGCAGAGATTGGAGCAATCCCTGAGAGGAAAAACAACAACTCACAAAATTCTCTTCCTCCAGGAACTGCTCCTAGATTTATATTGGAGCAAACATCCCAGCTGCTGGGTTTTGCAGCCCCTTTTTCCTTTGTAATGTGGGATTTGGATGGGCTGGCAGGGATGAAGGGAGGGCTCAGGGTGCAGCCCCACAGTGACTCACTGGGTGTCACACACCAAACCAGTTCAGGCATCGCCCTGGGCCCAGTCAGGCTGCCCAAACCCTGCCAGGCTTCCCCCAGCACGGTGAGATCCTCAAAAATACTGGGGTGAGGAAGGTGAGAGCCCCAAAATTATCAGGGGGAGGAAACTGAGATCCCCAAAAACATTAGGGTGAGTGAGGAAGGTGAGATCCCCAAAAACACCAAGGGGAGGAAGGTGAGATCCCCAAATCATCAGGATGAGGAAGGTGAGGTCCCCAAAAGTATCAGGATGAGGAAACTGAGATCCCCAAAAACATTGGGGTGAGTGAGGAAGGTGAGATCCCCAAAAACACCAAGAGGAGGAAGGTGAGATCCCCAAAATCATCAAGATGAGGAAGGTGAAGTCCCCAAAAACATTGGGGTGAGGAAGGTGAGATCCCAAAAACACCAGGATGAGGAAGGTGACATCCCCAAAATCATCAGGGTGAGGAAGGTGAGATCACAAAAAATATCAGGGAGAGGAAGGTGAGATCCCCAAAAACATCAGGGTGAGATCCCTAAAAACACCAGGGGGAGGACGATGAGATCCTCAAAATCATTCGGATGAGGAAACTGAGATCCCCAAAACATAGGGGTGAGGAAGGTGAGATCCCATGAATATCAGGATGAGGAAGATGAGATCCCCAAAACCATCAGCCTCCAAGCTGGGAACTCAAGGGGACTCGGTGACTTTGCAGAGTGACGATCCCAGGTGGAAATCATTCCCAGACTCCAATCTCGCACTCCCAGGTGTAAAACATTCCCTGCTCTCCCCGGGCACAGCTCCTGTCTTGTCTCTGTCATTTCAGCGCTGCCCGGCATGGGGACAGCGGAGAGGGGATAACCCCGTGCCTGGACAGGTCAGCGACACGGCCACAGCCAGGGGACACCCCCAAAACAACCCCAAACACCCCAAACCCCACTGAGGGGACACAGGCGATGATCCAGCTCCGGGCTCCTCCATGAGGGACACCAAGGCCTGAGGGGTGAAACCCCCTCAGTGCCCCCGCACCCCAAATCCCCCCAGTCCCCCAAAGCCACCGTGGCACCGCTGCTCCCCTCACACACGCTGAGGCCTCACCCCGATCCCACTGCCATGGGCTCCCCTGACCCTTTATCCCCCCAAACCCTCCCCGCGGCCCCGCACCTGGCCAGCAGCTCCAGGAACACCACGTTGCTGCAGCAGCCGCCGAACACCAGCCCCACCGCCACGGCCGGGTGCATGGTGTCGCTCCGGGCAACGAGGCGGCGTCCCGGGCCGCGGCCGCATCCCGATCCCGGGGCTCTGCCCCGCTCCCGGCGCCGGCCCCGCCGCCCCCGCTTCCTCCGGCCGCCGGTAGTTCGCTCCCGGGGGCTACAACTACAACTCCCGGCAGGCCCCGCGCCGCCTCAGCGCGGCTCCCGGCGGGCGCCCCGCCGCGGGGCACGATGGGAGTTGTAGTTCTGATCTGAAAAATGTGATGGCGGCGCTGAGGTGGCGTCAGGAGGAGGCGCGGCTCCGGCGCTGGATGTGGCGGGGAGCAGCCCGTAATTGACTTTTTGGGGTTATTTAGTGACCCCAAAACGCCAGTTAGAGGCGGTTCCTAAGGATGCCGTGCCGAAGATTTCCAAAGAATAATTATTATTGAAAGGCAGAGCTGGGGGTGCTCACCTGGAGCAGGGAAGGCTCCAGGGAGAGCTCCCAGCACATGGCAGGGCCTGCAGGGGCTCCAGCAGAGCTGCAGAGGGACTGGGGACAAGGCCTGCAGGGACAGCACCCAGGGAATGGCTCCCACTGCCAGAGGGCAGCCATGGATGGCATCTTGGCAATGAGCAATTCCTGCCTGGGCTGGCATTGCCAGAGCAGCTGGGGCTGCCCCTGATCCCTGCAGTGCCCAAGGCCAGGCTGGAGCAGCCTGGCATGGTGGGACTGGAATGGGATGGGCTTGAAGGGCCCTTCCCACCCAAACCATTCTGGAATTTGGGACAGTCAGAATCCATCCCGAGGGATTATTATGGAAGTTGGGGATGGCAAAGGGAAGGGAGACCCTTCCTGGAGTGCTGAGGTTGCCAGTGAAGCCCCCAGACCCCAAAATTCCTTCCTAGAGAGGAGTCGGGGTGGGGATGGATCCAATGGCAGGCTGGGAGAGCTGGGAATGGAGGGAATTCCCTGGAGAGGGAGCCTGGGGTGGGATTTTGGGAAGGGATTGCCAGAGCAGCTGGGGCTGCCCCTGATCCCTGCAATGGCCAAGGCCAGGCTGGAGCAGCCTGGGATGGTGGTGTGAAATACAAAGCTGTGTTCCGTCTCAGGCACAAACAGGCGATGTGTGTAGTTGTGAATGCGAAATGTGTGGACCCCGACAATGGGAGAGCTGTGAATTCTAATAATAACTGAGGAGAATAAAGCATGGAAAAAGGCCTTTGAACCTATCTGTTGTTGGCAAATTAACCCTAGTTGATTTAGGAGCGTTGGAATTAAAGTGTTAAAGATGCTGCTTTTTGCCTGCATTTAATCCATAAAGAGTTCTGCAATAATAACTTTTTGAAGTATAATTTTAGAATATTACTTGTATCCTTGAAACTATAGCTTTGGAATATATATAAAGGAAATATGCTTATCTCAGGCCTTATTGAAGCAGAGAAAAGCAGCTTGAGAAAGGAAGGTGAACATCACCTCAAGGGTTTATGGTTTCAACCAAAGGGAAACTGGACCATCACCATCTGGGATCCTCCTTTTGAGATACATCCTGAGAAGCTAAATCACAATAGTGTATAGAATCATGATGTAATAAATTTGGAATAAAAATTGCTGATGAGTAAAACAATTGGAAATAGAAACTGCTGAGAAAGCTGATGAGTACCCCTATAAATACCTGTAACCACCAATTGTTGGTGTGCAGATGGAGGGAAAACTTCCCCCACTGTACCCAGCACTGTATTGCTCACACTTTACCGTATTAATTAATAAATTGATTGCTGCTTGAATATTGGCCTAATCAAGCTTCTGATTCATAACAGTGGGATTGGAATGGGATGGGGTTGAAGGGCCCTTCCCACCCAAACCATTCTGGAATTTGGGACACTGAGAATCCATCCCGAGGGGTTTTTATGGAAGCTGGGGATGGCAAAGGGAAGGGAGACCCTTCCTGGAGTGCTGAGGTTCCCAGTGAAGCCCCCAGATCCCAAAATTCCTTCCTGGAGAGGAGTCGGGGTGGGGATGGATCCAATGGCAGGCTGGGAGAGCTGGGAATGGAGGGAATTCCCTGGAGAGGGAGCCTGGGGTGGGATTTTGGGAAGGGATTCCCAGAGCAGCTGGGGCTGCCCCTGATCCCTGCAATGGCCAAGGGTGGGATCTCAGCGCCTCAGGACTGATGTGCAGAGTCACCGAGATAACCCTTGGGGGGCTCGGAGGTCCTGGAACGTTGCCAGAAGTGTTTGGTGGTTGGACTTTGATCCTGCACGGGAAACAACACCTGTGTGAGGATGGGAGGATCCCACGGGGATAAATGGTGAAGGGATGGGTTAATTATAGTGTGAAACACAGGTTTTAGAATCTCAGTACAGGGGGGTTCTAAGGGGACAAGATGGAGGAATTGGGGCGCATCCTGTCCTTCTTCTTCTTCTTCTTCTTGTCGTCCATCTTCTGTGGTGATGGTGGCACTTTGAGACTGATTCTTACTAAAAGTGCACTTGTCAATGAGGGTGAAAGGTATTGGGGAGAAAAGGTAAATATCTTGCACATAATTTTTGGTATAAAGATAAGTGACTGCCCCGAGGGAGGTCAGTGTGCTCATGGCTGGCGTGCTGTGCGGACCTCTGTCAGGCCGAGAGAAAATCTTGTAGATAAGAATTAATAAACAACACTGAAGAACTGAAAAACCTGAAGACTCCTTTCGTCCTGTGGAGCGCGGGCTGCCCTGTCGCAGACATTTTTTCACAGAAATCCTTTCTTTCAGGTTTCTGTATCTTCTGGGAAGCAAAAGGCCCCAGAAGATGAATGTAAACAATTGTTATCAACTGCTGTAGAATGCAACAAGAGCCTCTGTAATTAGTCTCATGTGCTTGTGTATAATTAAAAGCCAATCACAAAAACAAGCTGGAGACCAAGTCCCTAGACACAACTTTGTTATAGATTCTTTTCTTTCTATTCTTAGCTTAGCCTAGCAGCTCTGCAACCTCTCTCTTTATTCTTATTAGTATAGTAATAATGTATTATATATCATATATTAATAAATCCAACCTTCTGATCAAGAAACAAAACTCTCGTCTCTCTCTCACCAGCAGCGACCCACTCAAGACGCTGTAATACTGCCCCAAGGCCATCCCGAGCCTTTCCAGGCCCTTAGAACAGCCGAGAACGGGACAGCCAAGGAAGGATTGGAGCACCCTGGGACGGTGGGAGCTGTCCCTGGACCCTGGATGGGATTTAAGGTCCTTTCCCACCCCACCATTCCTGGTTTGCTGCTGAATTTTGAGTGGATTTTTAGTCCAGTCTGTTGGAGAATGAGGGGAGAACGACCATCCTTTAATGCATCGGACTCAGGTTTATTGATCGATCAGCCACTTTAAATAACAGTGTTAACAAACTTCATGCATATTCCAAAATCCAAGTTCATGATAGGCTTACAGAGAAAACTCTAACCACTCCTTTTGTTTTACAATACCTACAATTGTTTATTAAAAACAGAATCAGTGTTCCCAAAGCTTCCACATCTGTTCCCAGGGTGCCAGCTTTTCCCAGAGAGGGTGTTCTGCTTGTTATGGGAAGACTGTCTGAGAACTTTATTGTTTATAAAGAGAGTCTAATTGTTTATAGAAATCAGGCTGGGAACTGCCTTAGGAACTGCTTTACTTTTACCTTTTGCTTTTCTCTCAATTGTATGTCTTCATGTGCGCGAGGGCGTACTCGGCCCTAGGTCCGGCTAGCTGAAGGGGTTAGATGGCCGACGCCCCTACGCATAGGAAGCCAACCCCCCTTGGCGTTGTGGCCTCGGGCTGGGCTGGATCGCGGCATCGGACTTGCGCGGAAGAGGACGAAGGAGGAGGCGACCACTTGCTGGAGGTCAACGTCGGTTTATTGAAGATGCAAAGGCAACCAACAGAGGGGGAATGCGGCAGAGTCTTAAAGGGAAGGGGGTGGAGAAGGGAGGGAAGCCCAGCTAACCAATGGGAAAAAGTGTGGGGAGGTACATAACATAACTGACACAAGAACATATCCAATAAACATGAAGTAAAGGAGGGGCCCCAGGACGCCAGCCAACCACAACCCCCATGGAGAAGAAGGTTCTCGAAACCTGGGAGGAGTGGGGGTGATTGACTGGGCCCAGGGAGGAGGAAAAACTTACTTATAAGGTAGGATAGGGGAGGGGAAGTTACATAACACAAGGGATTGGCAGCTGAGGGGGAAGGGGTAACCATAGCAACATAACTGCAAAAAGCTCTGTGGCGGGAAAACAGGAGGGGGAAGAACCATTTTACCAAGAACAGGGGGGAACAATACGTAAAATAGGGGAGCAAAACAAGAAACTTAAAAACACACTGCAACATTCATGGCCTTTTTCTTTAAGCCATTCTTGAACTAAACTCTCCACACCAGTCCAGCACTCACCTCACTGAACTGCCAAAAATCCCCCACTATGACCAAAAAAAACCCACCCAAATTTTGCGTTTTTGGCTCTGAGCTCCCTGCGCCCCAGGGCTAAGGAATTATTTCTCATTCTGCCAAAAAAATCCGCCACGAAAATCTGGAGCCTTGGAAGAGCTGCTGATCTTCAGCCTGAGGATCCTCCTCTGTGGGAAGCGATTTTAAAAATCTTTGGGATTTTTGTCTCCCTGAAACAAAATTTTGTAACTCCCTGAGTTGCTCACCCTGAGCTGCTTTGGTGCAATTCATCCAATTTAACCAACACAACCCTGGAGCTCTTCCATGGCTCCAAATTGGGCCAAAAATTCAATTTTCTGTGCAGGGAGGAGGAACCTGCTGAGGCAAAAGGCTCTGGAAGTCGAAGGCAATGAAAATTAACAGGAAAATGTTAATTTAGGAGTTTTATTTCTTGTAAAACCCCAAATCTTCACTCATTTCCTGCTCTCAATAATTCTCATTTTTGCTGATGGTTCCTTGCTAGGTTCTTTAAATCCACTTGCAAATCAAATAATTGTGACTCAACCACATTTTATTAAAAAAACCCCAATTTTGAACTGGTTTTCGCTCCCAGTTTCCCTCTGAACATTTCACAAAATCCCCTTTCTAAATAATTCACCAGCCCTACAACACAGCCAATATTATCAGCAGCCCTGGTGCTTCCACACCTCAATTAAATCCATAAAATTAATGAAAAATACAATTCCATGCTAGGAAAATAAAAAAATCTCCCCCATTTCCCAGCTGAGAGTGCTGAGGGAAATAATTTCTGGCTTTGGGAAATAACTTTTTAATAAAGTTATAAATAAATAGCATTTTTTTATTGTTGTTTTGGGGAGTTAATGAGAAATGGATCCAGCAAGAATATTTGATATATTTTGCATAGAAAGGGGTGAAAATCAGTAATTGGGCATTGGAAAATACAGAAATATTTAACAAAACTATAAATAACAGAAATATTTAATAAAACTATAAATTAAATCACCTTTTTTGTTGTTGTTTTGGGGAGTTAATGAGAAATGGACCCAGCAATAATATTGGATATATTTTGCAGAGAAAGGGGTGAAAAGCAGGAATTGGGCATTGGAAAATACAGAAATGTTTAACAAAACTATAAATAACAGAAATATTTAATAAAACTATACTTAAATCACTTTTTTTTGTTGTTGTTTTGGGGAGTTAATGGATTCAACAATAATATTTGAATATTTTGCAGAGAAGGGGGTGAAAAGCAGGAATTGAGCTATGGAAAATACAAAAATATTAAATAAAATTATAAATAATTAGCATTATTTTGTTGTTGTTTTGGGGAGTTAATGAGAAATGGATCCAGCAATAATATTTGATATATTTTACAGATCAAGAGATGAAAATCAGGGTGAGAAAGGCAGGAATTGGGCTTTGGAAAATAGAAAAATATTTAATAAAACTATTAAAAAATCACCTTTTTTTTTGGTGTTTTGGAGAGTTAATGAGAAATGGATCCAACAACAATATTGGATATATTTTGTAGAGAAAGGTGTGAAAAGCAGGGTTGGAAAGAGGAATTGGGGTGGAAGTGGCTCTCAGGAGTTGTTGTTTTGGGGAGTTAATGATAATGGCTTTAACAATAATATTTGATATATTTAGCAGAGAAAGAGATGAAAATCAGGAATTGGGCTTTGGAAAATACAGAAATTCACCTTTTTTTGTTGTTGTTTTGGAGAGTTAATGAGAAGTGGATCCAGCAGTAATATTTGATATATTTTGCAGATAAAGAGATGAAAATCAGGGATACAAAGGCAGGAACTGGCCTGGGAGGGCTCTCAGGAGTTGCTGCTTTGGGGAGTTAATGAGAAAGGGATCCAGCAATAATAATTGATATATTTTGTAGATAAAGAGATGAAAATCAGGGATGGAAAGAGGAATTGGGCTGGGAGGGCTCTCAGGAGTTGCTGCTTTGAGGAATTATTGAGAAATGGATCCAGCAGTAATATTTGATATATTTAGCAGATAAAGAGATGAAAATCAGGGTTACAAAGGCAGGAACTGGGCTGGGAAGGCTCTCAGGAGTTGCTGCTTTGGGGAGTTAATGACAAATGGATCGAACAACAATATTGGATATATTTTGTAGAGAAAGGTGTGAAAAGCAGGGTTGGAAAGAGGAATTGGTGTGGGAGTGGCTCTCAGGAGTTGCTGCTTTGGGGAGTTAATGAGAAAGGGATCCAGCAATAATAATTGATATATTTTGTAGATAAAGAGATGAAAATCAGGGATACAAAGGCAGGAACTGGGCTGGGAGGGCTCTCAGGAGTTGCTGTTTTGAGGAGTTAATGACAAACGGATCTAACAACAATATTGGATATATTTTGCAGATAAAGGTGTGAAAAGCAGGGTTGGGAAGGGGAGTTGGGCTCTCAGGAGTTGCTGCTTTGGGGAGTTAATGAGAAATGGATCCAGCAGTAATATTTGGTATATTTTGCAGATAAAGAGATGAAAATCAGGGTGAGAAAGGCAGGAATTGGGCTGGGAGGGCTCTCAGGAGTTGCTGCTTTGAGGAATTATTGAGAAATGGATCCAGCAGTAATATTTGGTATATTTAGCAGATAAAGAGATGCACATCAGGATTACAAAGGCAGGAACTGGGCTGGGAGGGCTCTCAGGAGTTGCTGCTTTGGGGAGTTAATGACAAATGGATCGAACAACAATATTGGATATATTTTGTAGAGAAAGGTGTGAAAAGCAGGGTTGGAAAGAGGAATTGGTGTGGGAGTGGCTCTCAGGAGTTGCTGCTTTGGGGAGTTAATGACAAACAGATCTACCAACAATATTGGATATATTTTGCAGAGAAAGGTGTGAAAAGCAGGATTTGGGCTTTGGAAAATACAGAAATATTTAATAAAACTATAAATAAATCACCTTTTTTGTTGTTGTTTTGGGGAGTTAATGAGAAATGGATCTAACAACAATATTGGATATATTTAGCAGATAAGGAGATGAAAATCAGGGATACAAAGGCAGGAACTGGGCTGGGAGGGCTCTCAGGAGTTGCTGCTTTGGGGAGTTAATGAGAAATGGATCCAGCAATAATATTGGATATATTTTGCAGAAAAAGGGATGAAAAGCAGGGTTGGAAAGATGGAAAGAGGCAGGAATTGGGCTGGGAGGGCTCTCAGGAGTTGCTGCTTTGGGGAGTTAATGAGAAATGGATCTAACAACAATATTTGATAGATTTAGCAGATAAAGAAATGAAAATCAGGGATACAAAGGCAGGAACTGGGCTGGGAGGGCTCTCAGGAGTTGCTGCTTTGGGGAGTTAATGACAAACGGATCTAACAACAATATTGGATATATTTTGCAGATAAAGGTGTGAAAAGCAGGGTTGGGAAGAGGAGTTGGGCTCTCAGGAGTTGCTGCTTTGGGGAGTTAATGAGAAATGGATCCAGCAGTAATGTTTGGTATATTTAGCAGATAAAGGGATGAAAATCAAGATTACAAAGGCAGGAACTGGGCTGGGAGGGCTCTCAGGAGTTGCTGCTTTGGGGAGTTAATGAGAAAGGGATCCAGCAATAATAATTGATATATTTTGTAGATAAAGAGATGAAAATCAGGGATGGAAAGAGGAATTGGGCTGGAAGGGCTCTCAGGAGTTGCTGCTTTGAGGAATTATTGAGAAATGGATCCAGCAGTAATATTTGGTATATTTAGCAGATAAAGAGATGCACATCAGGATTACAAAGGCAGGAACTGGGCTGGGAGGGCTCTCAGAGGTTGCTATTTTGGGGAGTTAATGACAAACGGATCGAACAACAATATTGGATATATTTTGTAGAGAAAGGTGTGAAAAGCAGGATTGGAAAGAGGAATTGGTGTGTGAGTGGCTCTCAGGAGTTGCTGCTTTGGGGAGTTAATGACAAACAGATCTACCAACAATATTGGATATATTTTGCTGATAAAGGTGTGAGAAGCAGGGTTGGGAAGGGGAGTTGGGCTCTCAGGAGGTGCTGCTGGTCCATCGGGGTGTGATGGGGGGCAGGACACGCCTGGACTGGCAGTGGGGCCCGGGGGAGCACCCCGACACGGCCTGGCTGCATTTCCTCGCGGCTCCTCCTTTCCCTGCAGCCTCCTCCTCCTCTGCAGCAAAAAGAAGGGAAAAGAAGGAAAAATTAGTTTATTCACAAAAGGAAAAAGGAGGTTATTCCAATGGGAAATGAGAATTTAACACAGGTTCCCAGTGGTTCTGAGGGGAATGGCTCAATTCAACCACTCTAAGCAGTCGCTGGGGTTTTTAATAGTTGGAATTTAATAATAAAATTGATGTTTGGGAATTGATGTTTTGGAATTCTACAATATTTAGAAATATGCAAATTTTTTTAATATTTGGAATTCTGGAATTTCTGGAATTTTTAAATATTTGAATAATTTGAATTTTTTAATATTTGGAATTCCGGATTTAAAAAAAAAATTGGAATTCTGGAATTTCTGGAATTCTGGAATATTTGGAATTCTGGATTTTTTTTAATATTTGGACTTCTGGAAGATTTGGCATTCTGGAATTTTTTAATATTTGGAATTTTTGGAATTCTGGGATACTTGAATATTTGGAATTGTGGAATATTTTGGAATTCTGGAATATCTTTGGAATTCTGGACTATCTTTGGTATTCTGGAATTTTTTAATATTTGGAATTCTGGAATATTTGGAATTCTGTGTTTTTTTAAAATTATGAGATATCTGAATATTTGGAATTCTGGAATTTTGGAATATTTGGAATTCTGGAATATTTGAATATTCGGAATTCTGGAAGTTTTGAATATTTGGAATTCTGGAATGTTTGGAATTGTGGAATTTTTAAATATTTGGAATCCTGGAATATTTGGAATTCTGGATTTTTTTTAATATTTGGAATTCTGGAATTTTTGGAATACTGGAATTTTTGAATATTAAATTTTTTAAAAATATTTGGAATCCTGGAATATTTGAATATTTGAAATTCTAGAATTTTTAAATATTTGGAATCATGGAATATTTGAATATCTGGAATTTTTGGATGCCTGGAATTTTTTAACATTTCAAATTCTGGAATTTTTTGAATTCTGGAATATTTGAATATTTCGGATTCTAGAATTTTTTTTTAATTCGGGAATTTTTGAATATTTGGAATTCCGGAATGTTTGGAATTGTGGAATTTGTAAATATTTGGAATCCTGGAATATTCTGGAATTTTGGACTTCTTAATATTTGAAATTTTGAAATTTCTGGAATTCTGAGATATTTGAATATTTCGAATTCTGGAATTTTTGAATATTTAGAATTCTGGAACTTTGGGAATCGTGGAAGTTTTTGAATTCTGGAATTCTGTAATTTTTTGAATTACACTTCTGGACTATTTGCAGTTCCAGCCTTGTGTGTGGCTCGGCTCTCCGGGACGGTGGGCATTGTCCCGCCCGTGCCAGGGGGTGGCACTGGGTGGTCTGTGCGATCCCTCCCCTCACACGCACCTGGCTCGGCTCTCCGGGACGGTGGGCACTGTCCCTGCCCGTGCCAGGGATGATCTGTGCGATCCCTCCCCTCACACCCACCCGGCTCGGGGCTCCCCGGGATGTTGGGAACTGTCCCTGCGGTGCCTCCCCTCACACCCACCCGGCTCGGAGCTCTCCCTGGGACGGTGGGCACTGTCCCTGCCCATGCCAGGCCTGATCTCTGCAGCCCTTCCCCTCACCCCAACCTGGCTCGGGGCTCTTCCCAGGACGGTGGGCACTGTCCCTCCCGTGGCACTGGATGATCTCTGCGGTGCCTCCCCTCACACCCACCCGGCTCGAGGCTCCCCAGGACGGTGGACATTGTCCCTGCCATGCCATGGCTGATCTCTACGATCCCTCCCCTCACACCCGCCTGGCTCGGGGCCCCCCGGAATGTTGGGAACTGTCCCTGCAGTGCCTCCCCTCACACGCACCTGGCTCAGGGCTCTCCCCAGGACGGTGGGCACTGTCCTTTCCGTGCCAGGGCTGATCTCTGCGATCCCTCCCCTCACACCCACCCGGCTCGGCTCTCCCCGGGACGGTGGGCACTGTCCCTGCCCATGCCAGGCCTGATCTCTGCAGCCCCTCCCCTCACCCCCACCTGGCTCGGGGCTCTTCCCAGGACGGTGGGCACTGTCCCTGCGGTGGCACTGGATGATCTGTACGATCCCTCCCCTCACACCCACCTGGCTCGGCTCTCCCCAGGACGGTGGGCACTGTCCCTGCCGTGCCAGGGCTGATCTCTGCAGTCCCTCCCCTCACACCCACCTGGCTCGGGGCTCTCCGGGATGGTGGGCATTGTCCCTCCCGTGCCAGGGGGTGGCACTGGGTGGTCTGTACGATCCCTCCCCTCACACGCACATGGCTCGGGGCTCTCTGGGACGGTGGGCACTGTCCCTGCCGTGCCAGGGCTGATCTCTGCAGTCCCTCCCCTCACACGCACCTGGCTCGGGGCTCTCCGGGATGTTGGGAACTGTCCCTCCCGTGCCACTGGATGATCTCTGTGATCCCTCCCCTCACACCTACCTGGCCCGGCTTTCCCCAGGACGGCGGGCATTGTCCCTCCCGTGGTACTGGATGATCTGTACGATCCCTCCCCTCACACCCACCTGGCTCGGGGCTCCCCGGCACGGCGGGAACTGTCCCTGCGGTGCCTCCCCTCACAGGCACCTGGCTCGGAGCTCTCCGGGACGGCGGGAACTGTCCCTGCCCGTGCCAGGGATGATTTGTACGATCCCTCCCCTCACACCCACCCGGCTCGAGGCTCCCCGGGATGTTGGGAACTGTCCCTGCAGTGCCTCCCCTCACACCCACCTGGCTCGGCTCCCCCCGGGACGGCGGGAACTGTCCCTGCCCGTGCCAGGGATGATTTGTACGATCCCTCCCCTCACACCCACCCGGCTCGAGGCTCCCCGGGATGTTGGGAACTGTCCCTGCCCGTGCCAGGGATGATCTGTACGATCCCTCCCCTCACACGCACCTGGCTCGGAGCTCTCCGGGGGCTCGTTCCAGGCGCTCCAGGTGTGCACGCCCAGCCCGGCTGCGGACAGGTGCCTCTGGGGCAGCGGCAGCTTGGGCCACAGCAGCTGCTCCAGCCCGGGCAGGACAGTCTCGGGAGGGACGAACACCTGTCTCCAGGCCCGCCCCAGCTCCATGAAGCTGTGGGGGGAAAATTCAGGGGTTAAAAGAGTCCTGCTTTAAAAGAGGGTCTGGTTTTCTACAGCCGCACCATTTTCTTTCAGCACCTTTTTCCCCTACAAACAAAACTTTTGAAAATCCCTTCCTGTGGGAGCACCTTGGCAATTTAAGGACAACCAATTTCAAGATTCTTGAGGAATTTCAAGCTCATGACATCTCCCAAATGCCACTCACCAGCAGCTGTATTAATCACATAAGAGGGAATAACTAAGAGGGAATAACTCTGGTTTTAAAACCATATTTCTCACTCCAATTCTGGTTTTCCATGCCTGCACCGAGTTTCTTTCTTCATCTTTTACCCTACACAGAAAGCTCTTGGAAATCCCTTCCTGTGGGAGCTCATGGTGCCATTTAAGGACCACCAACTTCAAGATTTTTGGTTCGATTATTGAGGATTTTGTGTCTCATGATATGTCCCAAATGCCACTCAGCAGCAACTGTGCTAATCACATCAAGAGAGAATGACTCATTTTTAAAATCATATTTCTCACTCCAGTTCTGGCTTTCTACACCTGCACCAAGTTTCTTTCAGCGCCTTTTCCTCTACAAAGGAAACTCTTGAAAATCCCTTCCTGTGGAGCTCCTGGTGCCATTTAAGGACCACCAACTTCAAAATTCTTGATTCAATTCTTGAGGATTTTCAAAATCATGACATCTCCCAAATGCCACTCAGCAGGAACTCTGCTAATCACATAAGAGGGAATAACTCTGGTTTTATAACCATATTTCTCACTCCAATTCTGGTTTTCCACATCTGCAGCAAGTTTCTTTCAGCACCTTTTCCCCTACAAACAAAACTCTTGAAAATCCCTTCCTGTGGGAGCACCTTGGCAATTTGAGGACCACCAATTTCAAGATTTTTTGTTCCATTCTTGAATCATTATCTCTCTCAAATTTCACTCAGCACCAACTGTGTTAATCATGTAAAGAGAGAATAACTCTGGTTTTAAACCCATATTTGTTACTGCAAGTCTATTTTTCCACACCTGCACCAAGTTTCTTTCAAATATCAAATATCAAATATCAAATATCTTCAAATATCCCCTCCAAAAAAATCTCTGGAAAATCCCTGCCTGTGGTTCCAATTCCCACCTGAGCCAGGTGAGTTTGCTGCTGCCCCCCCAGGTTAATGACGATGATGATGATGATGATGACAATTATGATGACGATGATGATGATGATGATGATGATGATGATGAGGATGATGATGACGATGATGATGATGATGATGATGATGATGATGCCTCACCTGCTCTCCGAGGGAGCCCTGCCCAGGAATTCCCACCTGTGCCAGGTGTGTTTGCTGCTGCCCCCTCATGTTAATGATGATGATGATGACGATGACGATTACGATGACGATGACGATGATGAGGATGAGGATGATGATGAGGATGATGATGATGACAATGATGATGATGAGGATGATGATGATGATGCCTCACCTGCTCTCCGAGGTGGCCCTGCTCAGGAATTCCTACCTGTGTCAGGTGAGTTTGCTGCCCCCCCCAGGTTAATGTTAACGATGACGATGATGATGATGATGAGGATGACGATGATGATGATGATGAGGATGAGGATGATAATGATGATGATGATGATGATGATGCCTCACCTGCTCTCCGAGGTGACCCTGCTCAGGAATTCCCACCTGAGCCAGGTGAGTTTGCGGCTGCCCCCATCCTGGGTTAATGATGATGATGATGATGACGATGATGATGGTTTAATGCCCTCCCTCCCATCCAGGAGCCTCACCTGCTCTGCGAGGGGCCCCAGCTTAGGAATTCCCACCTGTGCCAGGTGAGTTGGCTGCTGCCCCCCATGTTAATGATAATGATGACGATGTTGATGACGATGATGATGATGATGATGATGATGAAGGTGCCTCACCTGCTCTCCCAGGGGCCCTGCCCAGAAATTCCCACCTGAGCCAGGTGTGTTTGCTGCCCCCCTCCAGGTTAATGTTAACGATGACGATGATGAGGATGATGACGATGATGATGATGATGATGACGATGATGATGATGAGGATGATGATGATAATGATGATGATGATGATGATGATGATGATGATGATGATGATGATGAAGATTCCTCACCTGCTCTCCGAGGGGGCCCTGCCCAGGAATTCCCACCTGTGCCAGTTGTGTTTGCTGTTGCCCCCACAGGTTAATGACGATGATGATGATGTTGATGATGATGGTGATGGTTTAATGCCCTTCCTCCCATCCAGGTGTGCTCACCTGCTCTCTGAGGGGCCCTGCTCAGGAATTCCCACTTGTGCCAGGTGAGTTGGCTGCTGCCCCCCATGTTAATGATAATAATAATAATGATAATGACGATGATGAGGATGATAATGATGATGGTGATGATGATGGTTTAATGCCCTCCCTCCCATCCAGGACCCTCACCTGCTCTCCAAGGTGGCCCTGCCCAGGAATTCCCACCTGAGCCAGGTGTGTTTGCGGCTGCCTCCCCATGTTAATAATGATGATGATGATGATGACGATGATGATGGTGCTGATGATGATGAAGATGCCTCACCTGCTCTGCGAGGGGGCCCTGCCCAGGAATTCCCACCTGTGCCAGGTGAGTTTGCTGCCCTCCCAGGTTAATAATAATAATAATGATAATGATGATGATGATGATGATGATGATAACGATGATGACGACGATGATGATGATGATGACGACGATGATGATGATGATGATGATGCCTCACCTGCTCTCTGAGGGGCCCCAGCTCAGGAATTCCCACCTGTGCCAGGTGTGTTTGCTGCCCCCCCCGCCCAGGTTAATGTTAACGATGATGATGATGATGATGATGATGACGATGATGATGATGATGATGATGATGCCTCACCTGCTCTCTGAGGGGCCCCAGCTCAGGAATTCCCACCTGTGCCAGGTGTGTTTGCTGCCCCCCCCGCCCAGGTTAATGTTAACGATGATGATGATGATGATGATGATGACGAGGATGATGGTGATGAAGGTGCCTCACCTGCTCTCCCAGGGGCCCAGCTCAGGAATTCCCACCTGAGCCAGGTGAGTTTGCTGCCCTCCCAGGTTAATAATAATAATAATGATAATGATGATGATGACAATGAGGATGATGATGATGATGAAGGTGCCTCACCTGCTCTGCGAGTGGGCCCCGCTGATGCCCGAGGGCAGCGGGGGCACGGGCCGCGGCAGCTGCTGCAGCAAGGACTCGCACTCGGGGTCCATGGCCCTGCGATCGCAAAAATCCAATTATTGAACAGGGCAGGACGGGGCAATTGATCAGAGAGAAATGGAGATTTTCATTTAGTTAGCACAGCCCAAGTGGGGTGAGATCAATCAGAAATTGAGATTTTCGTGGGGTAAGGTTAATCAGGAATTGAGATTAATTTTTTCTATTTAGCACAGCCCAAATGGGGTGAGGTTAATCAGAAATTGAGATTATGTAAAAAAATTATTTAGCCCAGCCCAAGAGAGGTGAGGTCAATCAGAAATTATTTAATCCTGATTTAATTCTTGATTTAGTTCTTAATTCAGATTTAATTCTTCACTTAATTCAGATTTAATTCTTGATTTAACTCTTGATTTATTTCTGGATTTAACTCTTAATTCAATTATTGATTTAAGTCTTGATTTAACTCTTGAGTTAGGTGTTTAAATAATTATTTGATTCTGATTTAACTCTTGATTTATTTCTTGATTTAGTTCTTGATTTGATTTTTGATTTAACTCTTGATTTAACTCTTGATTTAATGGGTGTTTAAATAATTATTTGATTCTGATTTAATTCTTGATTTAACTCTTGATTTAACCCTTGATTTAACCCCAATTTAACTCTTAATTCTGATTTAACTCTTGATTTATTCCTGATTTAATCTTGATTTAATTCTGATTTAATTCTTGATATAATTCTGGTTTAACTCTTGATTTAAAGGTTAGGAATTAAATTGGATTAAATTGGAATTAAATTGAATTAAATTGGAATTAAATTGGATTAAATTGAATTAAATTGGATTAAATTGGAAATAAACTGGAAGTAAATTGGATTAAATTGGGATTAAATTCGGATTAAATTGGGATTAAATTGAATTAAATTGGATTAAATTGGATTTAAATTGGAATTAAAGTGGAATTAAATTAGAATTGAATTGGAATTAAATTGGGATTAAATTGGAATAAATTGGATTAAATTGGAATTAAATGAAATTTCCCAGGTTACCTGTGGGACAGAAGCACCTGCCGAGCTGCAGAGAAACGTCTGTGCAGAGAAGCTTCTTCCTGGGAAAGAAATAAATAAAAATTATAATTTTAAACAAGAATTTTAAATTATTTCTGCTGATTTTCATGATTTGGATCCTCCTTTTTATTCCAGAGCGTTTAAATTTAAATATCCTGGGGAAACAGCAGGATTAATGAGGTGGATAAATAATAAATGAAATTAAATAAATTTATTGATCAAATGAAATCACTCAGTAAACAGAAATTAAATGCATAGAAATGAAATATTCACGTAAATAGAAATAAAAGAAATATATATTTATAAATAAATAGAAATAAAATAATTTTAAAAATATATATATCATTATATTAATAATTTCATCTTGCTTTGGCATCAGCTGATACCACTGATATAAATTATCACTTATCAATAAATGTCAATTTAATGGGCTGAGACAGACCAAATTGAACTGCTCAATAAATATGAATAAAATAAATATAAATAAAATATTCCCATTAATATAAATAAAATAGCCACATAAATAGAAATAAAATAAATATTTATTTATAAATAAATATTAATTAAAAAATTTATATATATATATATAAATATATTAAAAATTCCATCCTTCTTTGGTAGCAGCTGATAATGCTGACATCAATTATCAATTAAACAATTGATATCTCTGTGCCCCTCACCACAGATCCTGGTGTTGCCGTCAGCATGTCCAGGAGGTCCCGGGGGTAGTTGTGGGTGGAGATGTGCAGGAGGTCCCCGTAGGACGGAGCCGCCCTTTCCTCCGGGACCAGCTGGGTCCGGGAACCTGGGTGGGAAGGACAATCCCCAATGGAAACGTTCTGAACATAAACAGGGAGGAACCTGTGTGGGAAGGACAATCCTCAGTGGAAACGTTCTGAACAACAACAGGGAGGGAGGGACCTGGGTGGGAAGGACAATCCTCAGTGGAAATGTTCTCCACACAAACATGGAGGAACCTGGGTGGGAAGGACAATCCTCAGTGGAAACGTTCAGGGAGGAACCTGGGTGGGAAGGACAATGCTCAATGGAAACGTTCTGAACATAAACAGGGAGGAGGAACCTGGGTGGGAAGGACAATCCTCAATGGAAACGTTCTCCATACAAACAGGGAGGAACCTGTGTGGGAAGGACAATCCCCAATGGAAATGTTCTGAACAACAACAGGGAGGAACCTGGGTGGGAAGGACAATCCTCAATGGAAATGTTCTTAAATAAACAGGGAGGAACCTGGGTGGGCAGGACAATCCCCAATGGAAATGTTCTCCACACAAACAGAGGAACATTCCCGTTTTCAGTTTCCATCCCTGGAGGGGCCCAGGCCAGGCTGGATTGGGTTTGTGTGGAAGAGGTTTCACAGTGACTGCTGTGAGCCTGAGAGAAGTTTGGGAAGAGGATCTGCGTTTGATAGGAGGTTCCATATTTGATAACAGGATCCGTGTTTGAAAAGAAGATCGATGCTTGATAAGAAGAGGATTTGTGTTTGATAAAAGGATCTGTGTTTGATAGGAGGATCCGTGTTTGATAAAAGGATCTGTGTTTGATAAGAAGAGGATCTGTGTTTGATAAGAAGAGGACCCATGTTTGATAACAGGATCCGTGTTTGATATGAACAGGATCCATGTTTGAAAAGAGGATCCGTGTTTGATAAAAGGATCCATGTTTGATAAGAAGAGGATCCATGTTTGATAAGAGGATCCATGTTTATCCCTGAAAGAATTCCCTATCCAGTCATTGACACAGAACCCAGGACAGACAGAAGGATAAATCAGAGAAATTGCAACTGCCTGTTCAATGAGCACCTTGTTTGTCTCCTGTGACCAATGAGTAAAGTGCAAACTGATGAGGTGTGTAAGAATGTATAAAAAGCATCAATGCTGGAATAAAAACAGTCTGAAACCTTCTGGAAATGGAGTTGTTTGTATTGTTCTGTCTCACATTCAACAGTTTTGGTTGGCTAATTTGAGTGTTAATGAGCGCTAATTAGTGTGGTGGGTTCAGTGTTGGTTAATCACTAGAGCAGTCACTTGGATGTGCTCACCTATGTCCTGCAGGGAGGCAGGAATAGGAAATGGGAAATGGGAAATGGAAACAGGAAATGGGAAATGGGAAACAGGAAATGGGAAATGGGAAATAGGAAATAGGAAATGGGAAATGGAAAACAGGAAATGGGAAATGGGAAATAGGAAACAGGAAATAGGAAACAGGAAATAGGAAATAGGAAACATAAATTGGGAAATGGGAAATAGGAAACAGGAAATGGGAAATGGGAAATAGGAAACGGGAAATGGGAAATAGGAAACAGGAAATGGGAAATAGGAAACAGGAAATGGGAAATAGGAAAGAGGAAAGAGGAAAGAGGAAATGGGAAACAGGAAATAGGAAACAGGAAATGGGAAATAGGAAACAGGAAATGGGAAACAGGAAATAGGAAAGAGGAAAGAGGAAATGGGAAATGGAAATAGGAAATATGAAATAGGAAACAGGAAATGGGAATAGGAAAGGCAAAGCAGATTTAAAGGTTCCAAAGGTTATAAAGAGAAATTTATTAACAGCAACTAAAATGAAAAAAAGTAATAAAAATAAACCCAAAACCTTTAGGACGCTTCTCCTCCCCTCACAACCTTTTCTTTCTTAACGACAACGTGAAGAAACAAACCCTAAAATTTCAGTTCTCCAGTTTCTTTCCTCTTTCACAGGTGTTTCTCACAGAAGTGTACACAGCTTTTCAGTAATTAGAAAATTTAAATTATTTCTGTAAATACCTCCCACAAAACCACCACAGGCCTGGAGAAAGCTGAGCTTTGAGGTGGCTCCACACAATTCAGCTTTTAAAACCAAAATGATTTCGAATAATTCAAATTATTTCCAAATCAAAAAAAGAATCTGTAATTTGGGATATATATCCTGTGTATGAAATCACATTAAATATTAATTTAAACCATAGAAATAACCTTAAAGATGTTATATAAAATTGTGTGTATAAAATCACATCAAATATTAATTTAAACCACGGAAATAACCTTAAAAATATTGTATAAAATTTTGTGTATAAAATCACATTAAATCTTAATTTAAACCATAGAAATAACCTTAAAAATATTGTATAAAATTGTGTGTATAAAATCACATTAAATATTAATTTAAACCATAGAAATAACCTTAAAAATATTGTATAAAATGTTGTGTATGAAATCACATCAAATATTAATTTAAACCATGGAAATAACCTTAAAATATTGTATAAAATTGTGTGTATAAAATCACATTAAATCTTAATTTAAACCATAGAAACAACCTTAAAAATATTGTATAAAATCACATCAAATCTTAATTTAAACCACAGAAATAACCTTAAAAAAAGTTTTTTAAAATTAAAAGATTTTTAAAAGAACTTATCTATTTTCTCCCTGGACAATTTTTTTTTTTACTGTACACCAGCAAAAGATCTTGCCCAGAAGTTCATTAATTAAAAATAAATAATTATAAACCACTCATAATCTCCCACAAGCAATCTTCTCACTAAAAACCTCCCTTTTAAAGACAGCCTTGGGGCAAGGTTTGGAAAATAAATAATTTCCACAATTTAAAGAGGATAAATTTATTTAAACCCCTATAAATGGCGCTCTAAGTGAATTTAATGGTGGGCAGTAAATTTAAAAGTTACTTTATGAGCAGCAGAATTGCCAAAATCTCGCATTGTTAATGAAGTTTCTGTAGTGACAAGAAAGAGCTGCTGAGGGATAAAAATTCCTTTAAAGGAGCTTCAGATACTTCAATCTATCTCCAAAAATACCAGGATTATATCAAAATATTTTCTTTTTAATCCTCAGGCTTCTCCAACAATCACTCCAGGGTTTGTTGCCTTCGAGACAAAACATCCCCAGACTTTTTAAGGCAAGAAAATACAATATTGAAGCAAATAAGGCAAGGAAATCACATTTTTCATTTCGGATGAGCGTGGAAGTTCTGGAAATTAAAATAAAATTTTACTTAATTTAAAGCTAAATAAGATTTTTCAGCCAAGCCCTCGCTGCTGCAGCTCTGAGAAGCCGCAGTGTGTACAGAAGCTTCTCCTGTGTCCGCTGGGAAATTAATATTATTCATTTTTCTAGGATCTAAAATTACATGAAATGATGAGCTGATGAATATTGCACTGTCCTTCATTAAAAATTTCAGATTTTTTGCCCTTTTTTTTTTCCAGCTGCTTTTATTTGCATGTATGTATATGTGGGTATTGGCTCTGTGCTCCTGAGGGAGCTGATCCTGTTCCAATAGATCCAAAATGGAACCAACCCCAAAACCATGGGAATTCCTGGGGTCAGAGGGGAAAAAAAACCTAAAAATGAGCTTTTAAATTAATAAAAATTAATTTAATTAATTAATTATAATTAAATTAATTAATTTTAATTTAATTACTTAATTTTGATTAATTAATTAATTATAATGAAATTATTTAATTAAATTTAATTAATTAAATTAATTAATTTAAAAACTCTCTTTTTTATCACAATGTCCTTTTTGTTTATTTATTTTTTGTTTCATTCCAGTCAAGTTCTTCTCCCTCCCTTTCCCTCCCAAAGCCAATTCTGAGCTGCAGGATCAAGGAATTGATCTGCAGGAAAGTTTGGGGTTTTTTTGGGGGGTTTTGGGGTTTGTTTTTTTTTTAAATTTCAATTTCAATTCGAGGAATTTCAATAATTGAATAGATGTAATAAATTTAGGAATTTGTTTTTGGTTTGTTTTTGCTGTGTTAATTTAGGAATTTCCATAACTGAATTTATTTAATGAATAAATTCAGTTATGGAAATTTAGTTTGTTTTTGCTGTGTTAATTTAGGAATTTCAATCAATTACCGATAACCAGGAAATCAATCCATTACCAATAAACAGGAAATCAATCAATTACCAATAACCAGGAATTTCAATCAATTACCAATAACCAGGAATTTCAATCCATTACCAATAAACAGGAAATCAATCCATTACAAATAAACAGGAATTTCAATCAATTGCCAATAAACAGGAAATCAATCCATTACCCATAAACAGGAATTTCAATCCATTATAAATACCCAGGAATTTCAATCCATTACCAATAAACAGGAAATCAATCCTTACCGATAACCAGGAAATCAATCCATTACCAATAACCAGGAAATCAATCAATTACCAATAACCAGGAATTTCAATCCATTACCAATAAACAGGAATTTCAATCAATTACCCATAACCAGGAATTTCAATCAATTACCCATAAACAGGAATTTCAATCAATTAACAATAACCAGGAATTTCAATCCATTACCAATAACCAGGAATTTCAATCAATTACCAATAAACAGGAAATCAATCCTTACCGATAACCAGGAAATCAATCCATTACCCATAACCAGGAATTTCAATCCATTACCAATAAACAGGAATTTCAATCCATTACCAATAAACAGGAAATCAATCCATTACAAATAAACAGGAATTTCAATCAATTACCAATAACCAGGAATTTCAATCAATTACCCATAACCAGGAATTTCAATCAATTACCCATAAACAGGAATTTCAATCAATTAACAATAACCAGGAATTTCAATCCATTACCAATAACCAGGAATTTCAATCAATTACCAATAAACAGGAAATCAATCCTTACCGATAACCAGGAAATCAATCCATTACCAATAACCAGGAATTTCAATCCATTACCAATAAACAGGAATTTCAATCCATTACCAATAAACAGGAAATCAATCTATTACAAATAAACAGGAATTTCAGTTCATTACCAATAAACAGGAAATCAATCCATTACCCATAAACAGGAATTTCAATTCATTACCAATAAACAGGAAATCAATCCATTACCAATAAACAGGAAACCAATCCATTACCAATAACCAGGAATTTCAATCAATTACCAATAAACAGGAAATCAATCCTTACCGATAACCAGGAAATCAATCCATTACCAATACACAGGAAACCAATCCATTACAAATAACCAGGAATTTCAATCAATTGCCAATAAATAGGAAATCAATCCATTACCCATAAACAGGAATTTCAATCAATTACCCATAACCAGGAATTTCAATCAATTACCAATAACCAGGAGTGTGCTGCTGATGGAACCACTTTACCTGTCCTGCCCCTGAAGCCCTCGAAGTTCTCCAGAACGTCGGGAGGCTCCATGCCCAGGTAGACCTTGACAATCAGAGCCAGATCTGTGAGCGCCTCCTCCAGCTCGTCTGCAGACAGGGAAATTTCACGGCACCGAGAAAAGAGCAGAATAAAAACCAACTTCTCATCAGTGCAAAGACACAAATCACACGCATTTGACACAGAAAGATGTTTTTAGCTCAGCCAGAAAATACAGAAATATTGTTTGGCACAGAAATGCATTTTTAATGTCTCTTGGGGGAGAAACACCTTCACCTTCACAATCAGGACGTTCAAAAAAAGCTGAAATTCAGGCTCTGATAAATATTTTCCTGTAGGTTTACTTCTTTAGGGCCATATTAAAATTGCAAGCTCTGCATGCCACATTTACAAATTCGCAATATTTATACCACAGTGCTCTAATTTAACATGGTGAACACCAAAAACTCTATAAAAAGAACGAATTACAGAGGGAATCTTTGCATAAAGGATTCCCCCACCTGCTGCTGGAACCCTGGGGGCTGGAAATTCCAGATTTTCTGTGCTGCCGGCACTGACCCCCAGAGAACCCTGCACTGCCCTGAGGCCTGGAGAAGCTTCCAGAATGGAATGATGGAACTGGGACTGTGGGTGTGCAGTTTGAACAGGAGTGTGTGATAGCACAGGGTGGAAAACCCAGAGTTTAAGGGTTTAGGATACAGTAGAAGATATAAAGCAAGATGGAGGTTTTGGGCTGGTCCTTCTTCTTCACCTTTTTCTCCACAGGTTTGGGTGGTTTCGTGTAATTGGATAAAAAGTCCCCATTGTGGGCCATGAATAGTGGTTATTGGGTTAAAAGTGAAAATAATTCAGGTGCCATTTCTTAATTGGACAGTTTATCCTTACAAGGCCTTGTAGAGAGAGAGATGGGGCTCCATTTTGAGTTTGTTATTGAAGTGCTGTAGAACTCAGAGTGTGACACAGATAACCACTAATAAACATTTGAGTCCGAACAGAAATATCATCTCACACATTCAATCCCAACCTTGGCAAAAAGAAGGTGAACTCACCAACCTGCTGTTCCTCAAATCCTAATTATCCCAAAGGCGATCAGCAATTAACTCTTTGGAACCCTGGCTGCTGGGAATTGGAGATTTCTGTGCTGGGAATTGGAGATTTCTGTGCTGCAGGCACTGACCCCCAGAGAACCCTGCACTGAGCTGAGGCCTGGAGAAGCTTCCAGAATGGAATGATGGAACTGGGACTGTGGGTGTGCAGTTTGAACAGGAGTGTGTGATACCCAGAGTTTAAGGGTTTAGGATACAGTAATAGATATAAAGCAAGATGGAGGTTTTGGGTTTTGTGCTGCTCCTTATTCTTCACCTTTTTCTCCACAGGCTTGGGTGCGTTTGTGTCATTGGATAAAAAGTCCCCATTGTGGGCCATGAATAGTTGGTTATTGGGTTAAAAGTGAAAATAATTCAGGTGTCATTTCTTAATGGGACAGTTTATCCTTAAAAGGCCTTGTAGAGAGAGCTGGGGCTCCATTTTTAGTTTGTTATTGAAGTGCTGTAGAACTCAGGGATTGTGAGACTGAAATGAGAGCCCAAATCAGTGTTAATGAGGGCAATGAGAGCCCAAAATCAGCGTTAATGAGAGCCCAAAATCAGCGTTAATGAGGGCACAAAGAGCCCAAAATCAGCGTTAATGAGAGAGCCCAAAATCATCATTAATGAAGGTAATGAGAGCCCAAAATCAGCGTAAATGAGAGCCAAAAATCAGTGTTAGTGAGCCCAAAATTAGCATTAATGAGGGCACTGGGAACCCAAAATCAGAGTTAATGAGAGCCCAAAATCAGCATTAATGAGAGCACTGAGAGCCCAAAATCAGCGTTAAAGAGGGCATTGAGAGGTTAATGAGAGAGCCCAAAATCAGCATTAATGAGGGCACTGGGAGGTTATTGGAAGAGCCCAAAATCAGCATTAATGAAAGCCCAACATCAGTGTTAATGAGAGCCCAAAATAAGCGTTAATGAGGGCATTGAGAGGTTAATGAAAGAGCCCAAAATCACAAGCTTAAACATAAAACTAAAATTAAAACAAAATTAAAATTCTATATTGTATAAAAATATTTGATATAAAAATATATGTCATGTCATTTGTCATGTTATATGTTATGTTATGTTATGTTATATGTTATGGTATGTTATGTTATGATTCCTAATTACCCCAGAGGCAATCAGCATGAACTGACCCGTGTTGATGATGGCATCGTAGAGCCCGGGGCAGTCCTGGCACTCCTGCAGGTACATGTCCACCCTGCTCACTGCCTGGCCATGGGTGGTTGGTCATTGGGTTAAAAGATAATTTATAATAATTATTATAAATATTTCTAATAATTTATAATAATTATTACAATAATTTATAATAATTGGGTGAAAATAATGTAGGTGTCATTTCTTAATGGGGCAGTTTAAAAGGCCTTGTAGAGAGAGAGCTGGGGCTCCATTTTGAGTTTGTTATTGAAGTGCTGCAGAACTCAGGGATTGTGAGACTGAAATGAGAGCCCAAAATCAGCGTTAATGAGAGCCCAAAATCAGCGTTAATGAGAGCCCAAAATCAGCGTTAATGAGGGCACTGAGAGCCCAAAATCAGCATTAATGAGGGCAATGAGAGCCAAAAATTAGCATTAATGAGAGAGCCCAAAATCGGCGTTAATGAAGGCACTGAGAGCCCAAAATCGGAGTTAATGATGACAATGAGAGGTTAATGAGAGAGCCCAAAATCAGCATTAATGAGGGCAATGAGAGCCGAAAATCACAAAATTAAACATAAACTAAAAACTAAAACAAAATTAAAATTTAATGTTGTATTAAAATATTTGCTATAAAAATTGATATGATATGATATGATATGATATGATGATTCCCAATTACCCCAGAGGCAATCAGCATGAACTGACCCGTGTTGATGATGGCATCGTAGAGCCCGGGGCAGTCCTGGCACTCCTGCAGGTACATGTCCACCCTGCTCACTGCCTGGCCATGGGTGGTTGGTCATTGGGTTAAAAGATAATTTATAATAATTATTATAAATATTTCTAATAATTTATAATAATTATTACAATAATTTATAATAATTGGGTGAAAATAATGTAGGTGTCATTTCTTAATGGGGCAGTTTAAAAGGCCTTGTAGAGAGAGAGCTGGGGCTCCATTTTGAGTTTGTTATTGAAGTGCTGCAGAACTCAGGGATTGTGAGACTGAAATGAGAGCCCAAAATCAGCGTTAATGAGAGCCCAAAATCAGCGTTAATGAGAGCCCAAAATCAGCGTTAATGAGGGCACTGAGAGCCCAAAATCAGCATTAATGAGGGCAATGAGAGCCAAAAATTAGCATTAATGAGAGAGCCCAAAATCGGCATTAATGAAGGCACTGAGAGCCCAAAATCGGAGTTAATGATGACAATGAGAGGTTAATGAGAGAGCCCAAAATCAGCATTAATGAGGGCAATGAGAGCCGAAAATCACAAAATTAAACATAAAACTAAAAACTAAAACAAAATTAAAATTTAATGTTGTATTAAAATATTTGCTATAAAAATTGATATGATATGATATGATATGATATGATGATTCCCAATTACCCCAGAGGCAATCAGCATGAACTGACCCGTGTTGATGATGGCATCGAAGAACCCGGGGCAGTCCTGGCACTCCTGCAGGTACATGTCCACCCTGCTCACTGCCTGGCCATGGGTGGTTGGTCATTGGGTTAAAAGATAATTTATAATAATTATTATAAATATTTCTAATAATTCATAATAATTATTATAATAATTTATAATAATTGGGTGAAAATAATGTAGGTGTCATTTCTTAATGGGGCAGTTTAAAAGGCCTTGTAGAGAGAGAGCTGGGGCTCCATTTTGAGTTTGTTATTGAAGTGCTGCAGAACTCAGGGTTTGTGAGACTGAAATGAGAGCCCAAAATCAGCGTTAATGAGAGCCCAAAATCAGCGTTAATGAGGGCAGTGAGAGCCCAAAATCGGCGTTAATGAGGGTAATGAGAGCCCAAAATCAGCGTTAATGAGATCCCAAAATCAGCATTAATGAGGGCAGTGAGAGCCCAAAATCGGCGTTAATGAGATCCCAAAATCAGCATTAATGAGGGCAGTGAGAGCCCAAAATCAGCGTTAATGAGGGCAATGAGAGCCCAAAATCAGCATTAATGAGAGCCAAAAATCAGTGCTAATGAGCCCAAAATTAGCATTAATTAGGGGACAAAATCAGAGTTAATGAGAGCCCAAAATCAGCATTAATGAGAGCACTGAGAGCCCAAAATCAGCGTTAAAGAGGGCATTGAGAGGTTAATGAGAGAGCCCAAAATCAGCGTTAATGAGGGCACTGGAGGTTATTGGAAGAGCCCAAAATCAGCATTAATGAGAGCCCAACATCAGTGTTAATGAGAGCCCAAAATAAGCGTTAATGAGGGCATTGAGAGGTTAATGAAAGAGCCCAAAATCACAAGCTTAAACATAAAACTAAAAATTAAAACAAAATTAAAATTCTATATTGTATAAAAATATTTGATATAAAAATATATGTCATGTCATGTCATTTGTCATGTTATATGTTATGTTATGTTATATGTTATGGTATGTTATGTTATGATTCCTAATTACCCCAGAGGCAATCAGCATGAACTGACCCGTGTTGATGATGGCATCGAAGAACCCGGGGCAGTCCTGGCACTCCTGCAGGTACATGTCCACCCTGCTCACTGCCTGGCCATGGGTGGTTGGTCATTGGGTTAAAAGACAATTTATAATAATTATTATAAATATTTCTAATAATTTATAATAATTATTACAATAATTTATAATAATTGGGTGAAAATAATGTAGGTGTCATTTCTTAATGGGGCAGTTTAAAAGGCCTTGTAGAGAGAGAGCTGGGGCTCCATTTTGAGTTTGTTATTGAAGTGCTGCAGAACTCAGGGTTTGTGAGACTGAAATGAGAGCCCAAAATCAGCGTTAATGAGAGCCCAAAATCAGCGTTAATGAGGGCAGTGAGAGCCCAAAATCAGCGTTAATGAGGGTAATGAGAGCCCA